TGCTCTGAATGTCCAATTCCATGCCCCCCCCCAAGTGAACTTTCATCATATAATAGAACCCGTATCACTTTAATTTTTGCAAATAAACGGGTGAAATTAACAAAAATATTAGGAAATATTAAATTCCTAATTCTTTTAAATTTTATATTAAATTAAAAAAAATAAAACATTATTAGAATTTTTATTGAATTTTATATTAAAAAAAATAATATATTTTTTTTGTTTTCTTATATTTTAATATTTATTATTTTTATTTTTTATATTAATTTATGTTTTTTATTTTTATTAAATTTTTATATTTATTGCAAATTTTTAATAAAGAACAAACTTTTAATTCCTATTAAATTTCTATATTTATTAAGATTTTTAAATAAGGATTTAATTTTCTTATTTTTGATAAATATTTATATTTATCGAATATTTTTAAAAAGAATTTAATTTTTTTATTCCTATTAATTTATTTTATTTATTATTTTTTTAAATAAGGATTTAATTCTCCTATTATCATTAAATTTTTATTTTTATTTTGATTAAAAAAAAAATAAATCCTACCATCATTAAATTTATATATTTATTGATTTTTTTAAATAAGGATTTAATTTTCCTATCTCCATCGAATTTACATTTTTATTTTAATTTTTTTTTTTCATAATATTAATAAAAATAATAATAATAATATTTGTCGTAACTACGATTCCGGACAAAATTTAAATATTTTTTTTAATATTAATATTAATTTTTATATTTATTTTTAAATATATATATTTTTTATTAAAAAAAAATATAAATATTTTGTATTAATATTTCATTATTAATTTAATATTATTTTTATTAAATAATTTTAATTATAATTATTTATATATATATATTTATTATTATATATATTTTTTTATTTTTATATTAATATTTTTTAATTTAATAATAATAATAATGATAAATATTATATAAATATATATATTTTTGTTTCTTATTTTTTATAAATATTATATAATTTATTTTATATAAATTATATTTGGATTTTATTAATTAGATTTTATATTTATAAAATATAAAAATTAATTAGATATAATTATTTTGATATTAGATAATTAATATTTAATATATTATTTTATATATATTTTGAAATTTTATTTATATTATTTTATTTATATTGGTAAGAATTTATTTAAATTTATTTTTTATTTATATTTATTATTTAATATATTAATTTGAATTTATATTATTTAATATTTATATATAATATATATAAATAAATAAAAAATATGGGATATTTTCTAAAGATCCTATAAAATTTTGTGGAAAATAATCCTAAGATATATATATATATATTTAATATAATTGGGATTATATATTTTTTTGGGTCCTTTAGACCTAAAAAATTATATAATATTATTTATAAATATATTTTTTGGAACCTTTGAAATATAAAGGTATATACCATAATACCATAATATAAAATATATTTTCTAAATCCTTTGGAATCAAAAGGAATTCAGGCAGGGGTGTGGTAACCCCGCTTCAGCGAAGGGTTGTGAGTGGTATGTGGGTATATTTTTTTTCAGATTTGAAAATCAGTCCCAAGGAGTCTGCAGCCTGAAAACTGTATATCTTAGGTGACCATAATTCGGAACAATAAAAAAAAATATATATTTATTAAAATAAATATATTATTCCCCAAAATATGAATAAAATATAAGCAAAGTATAAGTAACGCGAGCAAATTGTAAGCAAATCGTAATCAAATCTTAAGTAAACCATGAGTAAACCGTAAGCAGATCCTTATAAGAACCCCAAAAAATTATCCTAAGAATTTAAAAGGAATTTAAAGAAAAGTAAAATGTAAGCAAAGCGTGAGCAAATCGTAAGCAAAGTATGGGCAAAGCGTGAGTAAAGTATAAGAAAAGCATAAGCAATGCGTAAGTAATGCGTAAGCAAAGCGTTTGCAAAGTATAAGCAAAGCGTAAGCAACGTAAATAAAATATAAATACAATATATGTAATTCATTTTAAATATTAAAATTTTTCAATACATAATTATTTATTTATAATTTTCCCGTTAGTTCACCATATCAAATAAAATATATTCAAAAATAGGTTTAATATTTTATAATTAAATATCCGTACCCAAAAAAAGATATTATAATATAAACATTATATTTATAAAAAAAATATATTAATTATTTTAATAAAATTCTAATATAATATATAAAAATAAAATATTTAATATTATTAATATCAATATATAAATTATTATAAATAAAATTTTCGATATAATTTTATCAAAATTATAAAATTTTGCCTATAAATATTTCAATAAATCCTCGGCGATTTTTTTTTTTAAAATTTAATAATAAATTATTAATTTATCAATATTTTATTTTTATATAATATAAAAATATAATTTTTTATTATATATAATATTGGAATTCCCAATCTTCCATTTTTTCGATCTAGTTCAAACCATGTAGCTGGCTCAATTTCATCAGGGGTATGTTTTGACAGTCACCTTGGGCTTTTTCAGAGGTACCATATCTAGTACTAAAGTAATCAGTGGGGATTGAACCTGGCAATTTAATGCAATTTAACAGATTGGGAAGTTTCTGCGAGCTCGCTCAACTGCAACGAGCTGGCTCAGCACCATCGAGCTCGCTCAATGCCACGTAGCTGGCTCAGGGGCATCGAGCTAGCTCAATGGCATCGAGCTGGCTCAATTTTTTTAGCGGAAAAAAAAAAAAGAAAAAAAAAAACCTCGCAGAAATTGAGCCAGCTACGTCACGTTGAGCTGGCGGACGAATGTGAGAGCATCAAAACGAATACTAGCTATGTATTGGCCGGGTTCATGACGCATTGGCGAGCCGGCTCAAGGGCATGTAGCCGGCTCAATTTCTGCGAGTTTTTTTTTTTTTTCGCTAAAAAAATTGAGCCAGCTACGTGGCGCTGAGCCAGCTACGAGGCGCTGAGCCAGCTACGTGGCATTGAGCCAGCTAGGTGGCACTGAGCCAGCTACGTGGCACTGAGCCAGCAAGGTAGCTTTGAGCTTTGAGCTAGCAAGGAGGCAGTAAGCCAGCAAGGTAGCTTTGAGCTTCATCATATATATATATATACACCTATGTAATCCCAACCATGTAATATACTAAATCTAGGCAAAAGCAATTTTTTTAAGGGAAACACATACCTTTGAGCTAAAGCAAGAATGTAAAATCTAATATTCGATTATAAATACATATTAATATATAATTAAATAATGTTTGTATATAATTAATTATATATATAATTAAATAAAATTATTTAAATTTATAATATAAATTATAATTATACTAAATTAATACATACTAATAATTATAAATATTTTTATAAATTATTATAAATTTTATAATTTAAAAATTTAAATATTTATATATATAATATAATAATATAATAATATAATAATATAATAATATAATAATATAATAATATAATAATATAATATAATATTATATTATTATAATATAATAATAATAATTTTAATTATATTTTTATCATTATTATTTATATAATTATATATATATAATTTATCTTAATTAAAATAAATAAACTAATATTTTTTTTTTAAAAAAATATTATATATAATATTATATATTATTTTAATTTATAAATTAAAATAATTTTTTAAATAAATTAGATTTAATAATTATTCAAACATAATATAATAATTATATTTTTAATTTATTATATATAAATATTCATATTTATATTTATTTTTAAAAATAATATATAATTATATTTATATATATATATTTTAAAACTTAATTTAGATACATTATATATATTTTTTAAAATAAACAACAATATTTTATAAATATAAATTAGATTATTATTATAATTTTTCGAATTTATTATATTATCCTAAATAAATAACAATGTAATATATTTAATTTATTTTATTTTTTAATTTATTATTCTAACCAAATATAATTAATTTATTGATTTTTAATTGGAGATAATTAATAATATTGAGGATAATAATGGTGATAGTGATAATAATAATAATGATAGTATTGATTGTGGAGGTATTGGGTGGTGGAGAATTATAAAATCAATAATAATAATAATTATAATTATAATCTTAATCAATAGAAAAAAATATATATAATAATTATCTTAATAAAATTCATATTGATATTAATATTTATTCAACATTAGGGGTAATATATAAGAATATCAATATTTTATAGTAAATATAATCGTCGTATCCAAGGTAATCATAATTTAAAGAATAATAATGTCAATGAACATGTATCGACCACGTTGAACCGTATTGGCTAAGTAATTTAATATCTGTAACATGTTTCATCCTTTGAGTGGGAGCACATTCATTCTTTCGATATTTCTATGGTGTTCTAGCCTGAAATCTATTGAATTGTAGTGTTCAATTGGTGAGCCGGTTAAACATTTGATCCAAGATGCTGATGTTTTGCTCATATGTTTGTGCTGTGAAATGATATAGTTATATAATATCGGTTTAAAATCTCAAGTGACATGTGATTTGAATGTGCGAATAAGTTGTTACATTTGATAAGAGTCAGTTTGGTGATGTTTCGATGTTTGGTTTACAGAATGATTCTTTAGCATATTTGATTCAGGAGGCATATGCGTATACAGCTGTATACATATCCCGAGCCAATGCAGCAATGCAGCAAGCAAACCACATTGACCAAAAACTGCCTGGGAAGCAACCAACGTTTTTTCTCGCGCATCTGCTCAAGGATGTCTTGCAGATCTTGAGGCAAGGGTTCTTCCACAACCAGGCCTTGCAAGTCAAGATCATGCAATTCCATCCTGTGACAGTGCAAGAAGAGCCGCGTCTTCAGATTCTGTGAAAACTCATTGTATGTACGGTCGCCCACCTTGGGACAATGGCAAACTGCAAGGAGGCATCTGCAATGTTGGTATTTATATCCTGCAATCCAAAACCTCAATAAATACAAGGGAAACAAATCAAATAAACCACATTTCTTGTCCCCCACCCGTCTTTTGCATGGCTGATATGCACACACACACACATTATCCTAGCGTCAACCCCCTCTCCAATGTCATCAGCATTTTTTCCCACAGCCCCCGACCTTATTCTACCCCAACCCGCCCTTGTCACTTTACATTTTTTTCCTCGTGCTAACTTGCTACCCTCAACAAAAGCACATTTCCAAGTTATGAGTCTAGTGAGGAATCGTGCAGTCACGGAACAAGGGGCCGGCCAATACAGGCAAAGTGGGCGCGAATTTGATGCATGCGCCCAGTGACTGGCATGACACGCATATACATCACGTCCTGTTGATCGTTGACAAAATGCTCCAACACTTCGTATCTGGTCAGCGCATCTTGTCCCAGATTGTTCGGCTCAACTCTTGCAGAAGGCCCATTCCGAGAGGTGACGCTCGTGATCAGAAGCGGTTGAGAAATTTCACCGCGAGAGCCTGCAGGACCCAACGACTCACCTTGCACCAAGCAAAGGTATTGCTTCTTTACCAGTCGACTTGCAAACTGTGCCTGCAGAAAATTCGCTGCAACAGAATTTGGCCCACCATGCGCAACAATCAAAACTCCTGAGGTCGGGAAATCCAGCCTGGAGACAGATGTAAAATGTGCCAAATTAGGATCTACTGACTGGACACAATCCCTCAACTGCTCCAGGATCCTTTCGCTGCTGCGATCTGGTGCCTTGGCGATAGCCAAGATTCCAGGTCTCCAGGCCAGAACTTTCAGATCACAAGCTGCTTGTTGCAAGATCTGGGGGACATGGAGACTTCTAAGACTTCGCCCGCCCATTTCGCCCATTTCGTCCTGCAACTTCCACCACCTGAGAGCTGTGCGGAGCAGCCGTGCAGCAGCAGCTGGACGCAATCCTTGCATCGCTTTCGAGGTTGAAGCCACATGCATTCCGTTGGGGATCAGCCTCTGTTGCAACATAGCTTCAATGACCTCATTTGCAGTGAGAGATTGCAGCGATTCTCATGTGTATCCTGGATCATCCTTGATCAATTTTTAATTCTACTGACGTAGTGATTGTGATATATTATGAGAGTCTATGTTTTCTCATATGACGCAACCCAGCTGATCTGATACCCAGCTAATCTGATGCCTAGGTTCTTGCTCTGAGAATATGAAAATGCAGGAAAAAATTGAAACAACCAACCAGTTGCTTGCAGTGAGGCTTGCCACTTCTCTGCCTTCACGAGGACACGGTTTAGACTATCGAAGCAATGTGTCGAAGCGATGCCAGCGATCTCCGGCTGGACTTCCCAAAACACATTGAGTGCTACCTGCCATGCGGTGGCATTTTCCTGGAGTGATGGGAGCAAAGAACAGCACAGAATTTCTCAATTAGATTCAATTGGAATCCATTCAAGCGACATAGACCCTAAGAATTGCAAATTCTTAACGGAAAGTCACCTTCCAACACAGCCGTAACTGCCTTCCATCACATCAGCAAAAAAAATTGGTCAGCAAAGCGCCATCAAAACACTGAACCAGGCATCGCATGAACTGACGAGGGCACCACAGGTGATCTCATCTGGAGTAAGCTGTGCCGACTTCAAACGAAGCAAGAAAGACAAGGCTCGCTCCCTTGGCTAAGCTTCATTCTTTCCAATATTATATATAGGGATTTATTACATTATTTAAATATGATCTACGTCTGACTGATGCAATATACCAATATATAATATAAATTAATATTGTATAATACTAAAAAATATTGAACAACATAATGTACTATAATATGAAATAAAATGAAATAAAATAATATACCTCCTTTGGCATCTGGTGGTTTCATGATGTTTCATGATTTTCATTCTAGTTGGGCCACCAGTCCTTAAGGAATTTGTCCTCAAATGGGATGCTCACGGGACTCTACAACCCCCGGGTCACATTATATGAGAAGGCTTGGTTGGCCAAAAAGTTCATGCACACACATTGTTCAATGTGTCAGAATACATGTGCACATACATTTAATACATGTATTGTAACACGTAGGTAGAGGTAGGTATGTAGGTATAAATGTATCTAGGCAATGTATGTATGTATGTATGTATGCATGTATGTATGTATGTATGTCTGCAGGCATGCAATTATGTAATGTATGTATGTGATGTAAGTAATTTACCTGATGCATGTAATGTATTGTAATGTACTATAATGTATTGTATTGTATGGTATTGTATTTGTATTGTATTGTATTGTATTTGTATTGTATTGTATTGTATTATGTGCACTCGTATTTGTACTCGTACTGCTTTTCAGTGTATTGTATTGTATTATATTGTATTGTATGGTATGGCATCGTATGGAATGGATGTATGCACGTACCTACGTACGTACGTACGTGCGTACGTACATATGTATGCATGCATGCATTCGCAAATGCATATGTATCTATATATATATATATATGCACCTATATATGCACACCTACACAAAAGTTTACTTCTACATACTTCTAACCATATCTTGTATATACATAAAGTCTATATATAAGTATAAGCGTATCTTTATTCAAACCCTCACAAGCTCTGACATGTCATAAGCCGCAGCAAACCTACCAACTTCCGGTGCCACGTGACCACGCGTCTTTGCAGGTGGTAATCGCTGAATTGAAGCTTTCCTTTGATGCGAAAATGACAAAACCAACATGAAACCAGCAAGGAATGCAGTCCTGAATTCTTTGGAAACTGCCAAGTGGTGGTTAGTAGTTCTCTTCTTTTAAATAAGCAAAACGCACATTTTCTGACAGTTTCTGGTCCATCATGCAATGGGTTTGTTAAGTATCCGTCTCTCTGCGAATGTGCTTCGCCAGTCATCCGATGACATGAGGCAACTTGAATTGCATCATCTTGCATTCTTGCGGGATGAAAAGTGCTGGAAACTTGTAGATGTTCCCCATTCTTCCCTTTCATCCCCGTTTTGATCATTTTGTTTGATGGCCGCGCAGCACCCGCAGCTGAGTTGCAATGCTGAGTTGGAGTGTGGTTTTCTGCGAAATCTCCAAAAGGCCAACGGCAAACTGCCAAGTGCCGCAGGCGTTGATTGCTGCGCTCAAACTCGTGGCCTTGAAACGCCCGAAAGCGACTGCGACTGCGCTCCAAAGGTGAGGATTTCCCAATGGCATTTCGATGCATGAGCTTCATGAATTTGGATGCTGGTAGTGTATGAGAATGCAAGTCGAAACATGTTACGGACAATTGGGTTCCACTAAGAACACAGGATATCTCACAATCGGTTTATCATCATTTTCCCAATAATCATTGCTATTTGGGAGGGTCTGAAATCCCACTTTGAGACCCCCAAAAAGTGTCAGAGAAATTCCACCAGCCTGTCATCAAGGATGCCAAGCCACGTCTGCTCTACCCAGGTCATGGAGATGTTGAAAGATGGCCAAGGCCTGCTGCCATTGGCCACCCCTTGCGCACGCAGTAATGGCTGCATTGGCCACCCTCACATCCACCTGGCAAGCCAACATATCGGAAGAAATCGGAGGTGAATACAAAAAACAGCGGGCTTTGAAATAGGGTTTCGCATTTCGTATTTTGACAGCGTTTCTCAAGAAGTTCCCCATGTCTTGGGACCAATGGATCAACCAAAACACCAAAAGAACATCAGGGTGCGACCTGCAGCATCTCCAGACCGTGCTGCCACTGGGATGCCTCCCCCAGAGCCAGGACAATGCTGGCCACGTTGCTGCAGTGAACGGTGCCATCGGAACCGTCACACTGGGCCAAACACATCAAGGCCATCTCCCATTGGGACCCGCTCCGAAATGTGCTGAGTGCCATGCTCAAGGTGGCAGCTCCCAAGTTTATTTGGCATTCCTGAGATTTTTGAAATAACCAAAGTGACCAATGCCAACTCCTGCATGCGCTGATGGCTGCCTGGAAATGAGAGTTGTTAACAGATATCTGCCTCCAGAGCATCTTCTCAAGCAAAGCGACCACAAAATGCCAACGACCTTGCTGCCCACAACCAGCCATAACTGCACCACAGGATTTGGGTCCTAGGACTTGGCTTGCCATCTGTAGAGCGCTTCTCCATTGTGAGCCTTGGTGGTAAGCTGAAATTGCAGCAGCCCAGCAGCCATCGCTCAAATGGGCAGGATCCAACCTGGAGAACACATGAACTGCAACTTGCCATGCTTGTGCTTTGCTGCAGCCACTCATCACTGCTTGGTAGCTGATCGTGCTTGGGACCATTTCCCTGGCCATCTGTTCAAGAAGCAGCGTTGCCAGCTGCCAATGTGGCGTCCCTTCCACCGCGCCGATGGCCGCATTGTAGGTGACCTCATTTCGTTGAAGCCCCAAACCTGGCATTGCAAAGAGGAAATGTAAAGCAGCTTCCCAGGCATTGCCCAGGCTACAGGCTGTGATCATGGCCTCGCAGAACACTTCATTCAAAGTCACTGGCTCAGCGCGGATCATGTCATACAACGCCACAGCAAGGGTCCATTGACCACCGCGGCCAAGTGCCGAAGTTAGGGCACTATAGGTGATAATGGAAGGTAGCACCAGCCAGCTAGGCATTTCCTGCACCAGCGCCAGGGCCTTTTCCCACTGTTGACCCTTCTCACAGGCGCTGGTCAGAGCACTGAAGGTCACCAAGTCCGGCGACAACTTGGAGCGCATAGATGTCATAGATGTCATAGATGTCATAGATGTCATCTCATTGAACAAACCAAAAGCCTTGGATCTGTGCCAAAGGGGGCCTGATAAATGGATATAAATATGATATGAATGGAACATATTCCCAGAAGATTTCCCATTTCTGTTGGAATAAGCAATGGGGGAATCCAGAAAATCACCGACGGAGCAAATCCAAAAAACTGCATCCCAAACTCCAGCCCTTGCGGAGGCGCTGATGGCTGCATTGTATGCAATGGTATCTGCTGAAATGCTGACCTGTTGCATCTCTGAGAGAAGACATAAGGCTGCGATCCAGAGGCTGTTCTTGTGGCAGCAACTGATTACTGCAGTGTATGAAATACAATCCGGCAAAAGTTGCTGTTCTGTCATTCCCCGCAAGAGACATGAGGCTATTTCCCACTGGCTCCCCTTCTCACAAGCACTGATGGCAGCATTGCAAATGATCCGATTGGGCCTTGCATATGGATGGACGCTGACTGGGACTAGGGCAAAACGGGCTGTGTGAAGGGAAAAAAACATCTGGGAGAGATCAATATAACATCTTACATCTTGACATATTTTGACTATATAAAACGCTGCCAAATCATTTACCTCATTGCAAGAGGGTCGGTCAGGGGCTTCCATTGGTATGGCATCCCTTTTCATCACTTTACTGCATGGGCATGTCGGCCGAAAATCCATACAAATCTCATCATTTGAACTCGGGGCAGAACCGCTTCCAAGCCGGCTGTCAAGGCTCTGGATTTGTTGTTGCTGAGCTCGATTGAACAAGGCCAAAGATCTCTCCCATTGCGCTGCGCGACCATAGCAACTGACCCCAGCCCCATAGGTCACCGCATCGGGTTTAAGTCCCAGCAAATCGATCTGACAAAGGAGTTGAGCAGCGAGTTGCCATGCTGTGACTTTGCGGCATTCTGACAAAGCCGCTGTGCAGCCCACCTCTCTGCTTGGCGATCGGAAGCCAAGTGAACATACGATCCATGAAACTTCCTTAAAACATTGAACAATCAAGGGCCCGCTATGTCTAATCTCCGTGTTTATGACACCGTCACCATTTTTTTGAAAGGAATTGTTGGTTGCCATTGCCCCTTTTGATTTTTTTGCGTCGCTTTACAGCAACCTCCCTTTTTGATCAATGATAGCGATGCTTCCGTGCTCTTTTTCGGTTGGCTGGCCATGATTGGTGCTGCATGCTGCAATGGGTCAATATGTCAGGCTAGTTGCGAGCGATGGAGTTTGATCAATCTGGCTCAATTTGGCAACACAAAACCCTCTGGTAAACTAACATAACTATGGAAAATCACCAATTTTAATGGGTAAATCAACTATAAATGGCAATTTTCAATAGCTATGTTTGTTTACCACAGGGTATTTTTTGGGTGATGTCCTTCACCAACCAAATCCATCCAAATCCCGCATCCTTCGCAACCTTTGGAATCTAACAGGACATTGGGAACATTGATTCTGTTCAAGAAAAAATATTCCAATATAGATGCGTCCAAATGATGATGATATACCACTAGCATCCATTCGCATTCAGCAACACTCATATGAACACTCATATGAACACATAATACACATGACACCCAAATCAGATGTCAATCTTAGGTGTCCAGCCTGGTCCAACTTCCTTTGCTCCAAATTCTCAAGGCAGCTCTGCACCTTTCGCGCAGCATGCGCAGCCTTCATGGCCGTAAAGTGGCCCGGCGCCTTCGTACCAGCAGCTTGAACCAAAAAGTCCATCCCAAAGACTGATGATGGATCAGGGAAAATGGCATGGATGATCATGGACAAGTAAACTAATGACAATTAAATAAACTTATGTAATGATACCGGTCATGTACATCCATCTGCAACTTTTACGACCATTGTCATCGTCATCCATTATCCAGGTGGAAAAAAACCAGTGCGTCCCAAATACTACTTGGTAAATGCCCCTGGCTGCTGCCGGCGCAAGTCCCCATCTTTGATTCGCAGCCGGCACGGCAAAGCGTCGCGTTCGGCGTTTTCATTTGTGTCGGCGCTGCTTGTTGCAGGCCCCGGGTGAAGAAAAACAAGGCTTGAAACACCCTGACGAATCTGGGTTTGGTCTGAACAAATTACACCAAATTACACCAAAGCTGAAAGTGGGAGAATGAATGATCGGTTTGATTTTTTTTCAAGGATTTCCTCTCAATTTTCAGGTACCAAACCCAGAAAATCTGACAGCTGCTACCTTGCCAACAGGCAAGGCTGGGCGTCTTGGACGTCTCAATGCCCTGGCAATGCTGGAAGCATCGGTCCACGCTGCAATGTTTCAGGATCCTCAATTTCCAACCACATCCTTCAGTTGGATCCCAACCATTGAACGGTTGTTGCCCGCATCGATGTTCAGGTTCATGGCTCATCCCCCAATTTTTCATGAGTGGGCAATGGTTGGGTCATTCGGCCATCTTATCCACTTTGAGGTTCATAACCTCTCGTAATCTGCAAAGAACAAGTCACCCATGTCACCATATTGCGACGTTGCTTCTGTGTAGGCGACAGGCTCCGTAAATAATGTAAATGAAGGAAAGCATACCATGATCTGATAATACAACAGGAGGCCGCGTGACCTGCACTCCAGACAGATGCCCAGTGCCCTTGTTTGTCACTCCACTGAGGGAAACTGTGTCGCCCTTTTGATCGACACCAAGGCTATTCCAAGATCTATTCGCTTGGAACAATGCCATTTAAGAAAAGGATGCGATCCGGGCTCACAACATGTCAATTCAAAGAGCTCCATTTAAGCTGTACAATTTGCGAGCAAATTGCCACATTTTTTGGGCCAAATGGATCCAATTCACACATGACGTTGCTGAGAAAGAATTGAAACGCTGTTCTGCCGTGGTTGTGGATGGCAAGTTGCTCGCCTTTCAAGCTGCACATGCACTTGTGCATTTGCTCCACAAGCAGCCAGTGTGATGAGTCATGGGGCATCGTACAGCTGATCAAGTCCAAACACAAAGGGTAGCATCAGAAATCTGTCGGTAGAACTACTAAGCTGCCATTTGAACAACAAATGGTTTCCTCAAATCTACCATCAAATAAATGATCTAGGTCTTATTTCGCACTGTTCAGATGGGTTTTGGCACTTTTCTTGAATTTTCACCATCATGGACTCCATGGACTGTACTGCTGGTAATGTGAAGCAATTCAATTCGCAGGTTCCCAGCACAAGAGAGGGATCTGTATGGGTTGGCCATCCACTCCCATGCCATCAGCTCCCATGGTCTCCACAAAGGCCTCAGAAAATGGCAGGCAACGGCAACCCAGACCCAGCCAGTTGGTACTGGCGGGGCACACATATGGGATGTGAGTTCGAACATTTCATCACATTTTCTTCACATTTCTTTATTTCACAATAGTTGAGCATATTTTTTTGCGGTCAATCCTTTCAGCGTCCTCGTTTGCGCTTAGCCTTCCCCTTGGTCCATCCTTAGGCAATGCCACAATCCTATCAGTTGGGAATGGTTTCTACGTAGCACCCATGAAAATGGTGATGAATTGCGGATGGTGACTATGAAATTGGGTGAATCCCACATTAAATCAAATGATGAACCATTCTTAATCCGCCGACCCCGGCCTTTGCCAAGGCAGGGGCGGCGCCTGGGACCACCGAAGGTGTGGATCTTGACTCTTTCGTCGCTTGCCACGGCAACAATGCCAGCCACGGCCCATATCAATAGTTTTTTATTATATGTTTGTCCACGGCAACAATGCCAGCCAAGGCCCATATCAATAGCTTTTTATTGGCGTTCAAGCCTGCCGTTTGCTGCAAACCCTCCAAACGCCTTTTTGGCACCCCCAACCCCGCAGGCAAAGCACCAAGGCCCATATATCAATAGCTTTTTATATTGGCGTTCAAACCTGCCGTTTGCCAGCCGTCAAACGCTCCAAACCCTCCAAACGCCTTTTTGGCACCCCCAACCCGATATCAAATTCGCTTTTTATTGGCGTTCAAGCCTGCCGTTTGCCAGCCGTCAAACCCTCCAAACGCCCCAAACCCTCCAAACGCCTTTTTGGCACCCCCAACCCCGCAGGCAAAGGCACCAAGGCCCATATAGCAATCGCTTTTTATTGGCGTTCAAGGCTTCCGTTTGCCAGCCGTCAAACCCTCCAAACGCTCCAAACCCTCCAAACACCTTTTTGGCACCCCCTATCAATCGCTTTTTATTGGCGTTCAAGGCTGCCGTTTGCCAGCCGTCAAACCCTCCAAACGCTCCAAACACCTTTTTGGCACCCCCAACCCCGCAGGCAAAGGCACCAAGGCTCATATATATATCAATCGCTTTTTATTGGTGTTCAAGCCTGCCGTTTGCCAGCCGTCAAACCATGCAAACGCTCCAAACCCTCCAAACGCCTTTTTGGCACCCCCAACCCCGCAGGCAAAGGCACCAAGGCCCATATAGCAATCGCTTTTTATTGGCGTTCAAGGCTTCCGTTTGCCAGCCGTCAAACCCTCCAAACGCTCCAAACACCTTTTTGGCACCCCCTATCAATCGCTTTTTATTGGCGTTCAAGGCTGCCGTTTGCCAGCCGTCAAACCCTCCAAACGCTCCAAACCCTCCAAACGCCTTTTTGGCACCCCCACCCCCGCAGGCAAAGGCACCAAGGCCCATATATCAATCGGCACCAAGGCCCATATATCAATATCTTTTTATTGGCGTTCAAGCCTGCCGTTTGCCAGCCGTCAAACGCTAACCCTCCAAACGCCTTTTTGGCACCCCCAACCCCGCAGGCAAAGGCACCAAGGCCCATATATCCATCGCTTTTTTTATTTATTGGCGTTCAAGGCTTCCGTTTGCCAGCCGTCAAACCCTCCAAACGCTCCAAACCCTCCAAACACCTTTTTGGCACCCCCTATCAATCGCTTTTTATTGGCGTTCAAGGCTGCCGTTTGCCAGCCGTCAAACCCTCCAAACGCTCCAAACCCTCCAAACGCCTTTTTGGCACCCCCACCCCCGCAGGCAAAGGCACCAAGGCCCATATATCAATCGGCACCAAGGCCCATATATCAATATCTTTTTATTGGCGTTCAAGCCTGCCGTTTGCCAGCCGTCAAACGCTCCAAACCCTCCAAACCCTCCTTTTTGGCACCCCCAACCCCGCAGGCAAAGGCACCAAGGCCCATATATCCATCGCTTTTTTAATTTATTGGCGTTCAAGCCTGCCGTTTGCCAGCCGTCAAACCCTCCAAACGCTCCAAACCCTAGCAATCGCTTTTTATTGGCGTTCAAGCCTGCCGTTTGCCAGCCGTCAAACCCTCCAAACGCTCCAAACACCTTTTTGGCACCCCCAACCCCGCAGGCAAAGGCACCAAGGCCTATATATATATATATATATATATATCAATCGCTTTTTATTGGCGTTCAAGGCTGCCGTTTGCCAGCCGTCAAACCATCCAAACGCTCCAAACCCTCCAAACGCCTTTTTGGCACCCCCACCCCCGCAGGCAAAGGCACCAAGGCCTATATATCATTAGCTTTTTCTTGGCGTTCAAGCTGCCGTTTGCCAGCCGTCAAACGCTCCAAACGATCCAAACCCCTCCAAACGCCTTTTATGCACCCCCAACCCCGGAGGCAACGGCACCAAGGCCCATATATCAATACTCTCGTGGGTCCTGATGCCCATGCCACCAGGAGGCATCAAGCGCAAAAACAAAGAGCCCACGGGGAGTCTAGGTATATATATCCATATGTGTGTGAATCTCCGCCGACCCCTGCCTCGCCCCCCCTCTTAATGATTGGGTCGGCAGCACGAGGGCGTTAGCCCTTTCTATTTTTTATCGGAAATAGATGCACATTCTGAAGCGTTCGGCAGCTGGATGCTCATTATTGGTTCACTTCATTACTCACAATCTTCCTAACATGGGTTACATCAGTTATTCGGCACATTCACATGGCCAACTCTTTAAGAACCGGCAATATGATTTGGCAAAGAATCTACCATTGATGGCGGATTTTTGAAATACAGTTATTTCATGTTATTTCCCATTGCCATCTGTTCATGTCGGTGTACCAGAACTTTGTCAGTGCCGACATGTATTGACAGATTTGGGTACGGGTCTAGTGATTTTGTACCCGCAAAACAGCGGTTTATGAACCCAAACAATGACCAGTCAGTCAGTTCAACTCATTTTGCAGCTGCAATCTCCCGTTCTTGCAGGCTTCAAATATCAATCCGCATTTCTTGTTGCTGGTTCACTAGTTGAATCGGCCACTATCGCTGGTTGGTATCCAAATATATTGATGGCAAATACGTTCATCAGTGCCCTCATTCTTTCAAGATTCGAACCAGGATCAGCTGACCCTGGTGATCCAAGGGGCGTGGAAGAAGCAAATGGCTCTTGGTGCCGGTGCCACGACCATGCCACGGAGCATCCACCGACAGGCTGAGAACAAAGCAGGCAACGCTACTTGTTCCGTTTCCTCAGTGCCACCTAGGACACACCAAGATTCCTAGAATAACAGGGAATCCCATGGAATAAGTGGACTATTGTAGGAACATGTAAGCACAATCTCCCACATTGGTGGCGTAAGAAAAATTCCCGCATTGAATCAAATTACAGTATCCTATTGTTTGCCTTCCACAGAAGGTTCAGCCGCGGAGCGGTATGGAACCAAAACCACCGCTTTTGAAGTGGTTTCAAACCAAGGAAATCCTTCACAAGATTTGCTCTTGCCAAAATTGCGCATATAGAATCACACTCACACAAACATGTATATATATATGTATATATATACATACAATCATGTTGTTACGTGATATGTATACATACGTATACCAGGTAGTGACCAGGTAGTGCCCGGCCCGTGCCGGGACGAGAATTTCGAACATTTAAAACAGCTATAGGAAGAAGATTGCCTATAGGAAAGGTTTTGGCATGCAGAAGCAGACACGTGTTGAAGTTGTGAAGTGCACCAACGAATGGACACATGGTTGTTGAGATGCTAATGACATGACATGAAAGAAGCCATGCACGACTGACTGAATGAATCAATGAACCATTGGGCCGATGAGTCAGTGAATCGATGAAGAACCAATCAGTCAATGAATCAAGGAACCAATGCATCAACGAAGCAACGAAGCAATGAACCACTGAATCAGCGAACCAACGAATCAATGAATGAATAACTCAATGAACCAATGAATCAGTAAATCTTCGAACCAATGAGCCCATGAAGCCGTGATTCCGTGAATCAATGAATCAACGAAATAATGAATCAATGCACCGATGAGTCAGTGATGCAATGAATCAATGAATCATTGAACCAGTGAAACAATGAATGAACGAATCAACGAATCAACGAACCAATGAAGCAACGAATTAATGAATCAATGAAGGAGTGAATCAGCCAATCAATGAATCAATGAAGCAGTGATTCAATGAATCAGTGAATCAATGAACCATTGAACCAATGAATCAGTGAATGACCAAAATTGATGGATGGGTGGATGGATGGATGGATGGATGAGTGAGCTACTTTTCTTTGTTGAGCTACTTCTTCACTGAGCGACCCCTTCGCTGAGGCACCTCTTCTCTCAGCTATACATACTTCTTCTCTGAGCAGCTACTGATCTGGGCTACTTCTGCTCTGAGCTGCCTCCCGCTGGCTCTTCTGTAGCTTCTGCAACCCAAGTCTTCTCTTTGCGCAGCGCTTACACTGCGTTTAGCAACCTCCAGCTGCAATCCCGCAAAGCACAAGAGTAGCGCTATGGTCCAAAACTACCTTTCGTGCAGTTGTTACAGTGCGTTTAGCAACCCCCAGCTGCAATCCCGCTTACCCGGAGTGTCACGGCATCAGTCATGCTTTGCTGCGCGCAGCCGTGCCAATGCGTTTTGTCACAGCCGGTTGCAATCCTGCATAGCAGGAGCGTCCCACTGAATCAACCAACGTTCGCACAGCGCTGGCATTGGATACTCGGCTTCACAAATCCGGGGCTGCTCCGAATGTGATCGTTTTGAGCGATTTTTTGTGTGTGAAACCGCTACAGTCTGTTGCACATTTTGCCGCCCTCATCTTCCAAAAGTGCTCCGAACATGCAAGTTTTTAACATTTAAGTGCAAATCCAGCTCTCGCCACAGTCCTGTGCACTTTCTGTCGGCAACTTTCGCAGATCGAGCTCCGAACCCACGGAAGCAAAGGCCCTATTTTGGCGACCCCAGGAGCCACATGACCCGACAAAAAACACAGAGTTTCGCGCCCGAGAGTGTTTTCGCCCGTGAACTCACACGCTTCCGAACTGTTACACTTCCCAGCTATTTGACGATGATGTGGTTGACATGATGATGTGGTTGACATGATGATGTGGTTGACATGATGATGGAAATGCTAACCATGACAATCGTCCGTAACTCGGAAGTCTTCTACTAAACTTCGCATACATCTATCTTTGTGGATGTTCATACATACTTAAATGTTATTTCGATTTCTAGATTGCTTCCTTGCGTACTTGGTTGACTGTCCCACTTCCCAGGAACGCCGCTGAGTCGTTGCATGAATGAAAGGATAGGTTTGTCGGTTTGTCCATGCGGGTCAGAACCATGGTCACCAACTAATCCAATAACAACTCATCCCCACTTGGGGTCTATTTTCAAATGATGTAAATGTACCCACATGGTTGGTTGCTAGGATGGTTTCCTAGTCCATGGGCTGGTCATCCCTCGTCTGCGCCTCAGAAAAGAAGGACACCATGGGACAGCCAAGCATCTGTATACACACCTCGTCCAGGGCCCTTGCTCCAAAAGCCAGGTGTACCACAGAAACGTTGATTGAGGTATTGATCCACCTGGCTCAGCCAGCCCGAAGAATACCCTCTGGTAGTTTGACAGCTATGGAAAATCACCATTTTCAGATTTTCAGAGGTGAATTTTCGAACTATTGCTGGGCCGCTGGGCCAAGGGTATCCAACAATGATAGTCACTGGCCGAAACCCAAACTTGAAAAAAGCAACCGGTACATTGTCCTGTGGCATTTCCACTTCAATTCCTTTGTTCGCCAAAGTCATCCAACAAAGTCACCTCCATTATGGCGCACATATCATCCCCAAACTATTTTCCATGAAAGATATGAAAATAATATGTCCTCAGATTCTTCCGTCGCACCTTCTCCATTGAGTCAATGCATTTCCACTTGGGTCGGACTTTCATCAGCGAATCCACGGCTCGCAGCCGAGCCAAGGCTTCCATCAGCGTGGCGCTCTTCCGGCTGTAGGCCAAACATCGAACCCCATGGGCATCCAACGCGAAGTGCGACCAAAGCGCTGCGTCATCGCCCAGGCCTCAGGCAAGGGCCGGCAGGGTTCCTCAATGTGGATGGATGGGTGGAGGTTTGCAAATATGCAGGTATGCAGGTACGTACATATGTTTGTATCTACGTATGCACGCATGCACGTTCGCACGCGTCCCTACGCCTGCGCGCATGCAGGAACGCATGCGTAGGTAGGTAGGTAGGTGGGTAGGTGGGTAGGTGGGTGGGTGGGTGGGTAGGTACGTAGGTAAGCAGGCCGGCATGCATGCAGATAGAGATAGAGATATCTGTGGATTTCAACATGCTGGAAAAAATCACCTTTGAATTACTAGCGGCACATGTGCTGCTATGGGGTGAAAGAACTATAAAAGTTAGAGCTGGGAGATGCGCCCACCAGCGAATGGATTTAAATCATGAAAGTCCTGAGTCTGAGATCTGCAGTATTAGGGGGAGAGGGTTCCAGTTTGCGATCAAGCCCATTGACTTGCTCTCACCAAAACTAACCCAGGATTGCGTTCAGTTAGCCACTTCCAATTGGTGCAGAACGGAGCGTCTTTCGGCATCTGAAATTTCAGCTGAAATTTGTATGTCAACCTTTCCAATTTGATGATACGTTGAGACAAAGAAACCAAACCAGTAAATTAGATTAACAAATTAAAGTCGAATGCAAATATCACGGACCTGCAAGACTGCGCCATGAAACTCTTGCAAGATCCTCAAAAGAATTCAAAAGATCTCTATACCAGAATCTCAGGGAAGCGGCTATAATCAGCACGGCGCCACAACTAGAGCGATCGTACATGCACAAAGTGCCGAGAAGGTTGCCCGAGGGATCCCAAAATTTGTTCCGCACCACAGCGAGAGCGATCCGGCATGCACAAAGTGATGAGAAAGTTCGGCGGGTGATCCCACAAGTCGCACCACAACGAGAGCCATCCGACACGCACAAAGTGATGAGAGAGTTGCGCGAGTGATCTCAAACTTCGCACCGCGCCACAACGAGAGCGATCTGACACGCACAAAGTCACCAGAGGGTTGCGCAAGCACATGTTAGATGATCACAAAACATTCCGCGCAGCACGAAAATGAACATTGAACATGCGAAAATCGATGTTTTACCTAGGTCTCAGCCACTTTTTTGTCCAGGTCTACAAAGTACTGCGCCTGCCACGAACAATGGGCCCGAGGCATCCGAAGTGCCGCATCTGCCAAGCGGAAGCATCATCATTGTCCAAAATCAAATTCGACACGACGGTTCCACAAAACACGATTTTCGACCCTTTCAAATTGTTGTCCAATGGCCTCCAAAAGTACCTCTCATTTTACCCACACCTGCCAAGGTTTTATGCAGTAATGTTCAGAAAGTGCCACGCCTGCCACACGGATGAAAAAGTGTCCTATGTCCTGCACCTGTCACGCAAAACGCCGTTTTAGACTTCAATCAAATTCAATAATGTCCCGGATGTCCCACGCCTGCCACACGCCATGGACATAGCTCAAAAAACGAGCATGGCACGCTAGTAAAGCGACACCTTCGGAAAGGAGCAAAACGGGCTGCTCATCTTGTGCGAGCCTGCGCAATCGAAATTCACATGGCCATCTCACAAGGGAACTTTTGCGCGAGAATTCTGATCTAACCCCCGGGGCATTAGCTCCTACCGTAAGAACCCCTCATTGTGGACACACTGTTTGGGGAACTGGCACATGGATGTAGAAACGGCCCTAATGCGACTCTAGTGAGGCCATGCTACTTGAATAGATTTGTTGGAAGACCGTGTGAAACATACGCGCACATACACACACTGCCTCTCTTTCGCACTAGCCTAGAGGATTTTGTATTATTCGAAGGAAGTTTAGAAGTCAAACTTCCGACAATATGGACAGATGAAAAGCAGAGCAGGGAAGAGGCAGAGAGAAGAGAAAGATTTGCGTTAGGAAAGTCGCGAAACACTGTGTTTTTTTCCGGAAGGTCGAAAAAGGCTCGCTAAAGCGGCGGGTGCGGAGCCAGCTGGCCAGATGAGAGATGAAAAATTGCACGCCGTTGTAGCGCGAAGCACATTTCGAAGTCAAAATGTACAAAGCACACCATTCTCGGACCACTTTTGGAAGTTGAGATGTCGAAAAAGTGCACGCCGTTGTGGCGCGAAGCACATTTGCAAGTCAAAATGTACAAAACATCTCAGCGTTGGACCGCTTTTGGAAGTTACGATGTCGAAAAAGTGCACGCCGTTGTGGTGCGAAGCACATTCCCAAGTCAAAATGTACAAAACACACCATTGTCGGACCACTTTTGGAAGTTACGATGTCGAAAAAGTGCACGCCGTTGTGGCGCGAAGCACATTTCCAAGTCAAAATGTGCAAAACACACCATGTACGGACCATTTTTGGAGGTTCAGATGTCGAAAAAGTGCACGCTGTTGTGGCGCGAAGCACATTTCGAAGTCAAAATGTACAAAACACACCATGTACGGACCACTTTTGGAGGTTCAGATGTCGTTTCGCGTGGCAGGCGCAAGGTGAGCAAAACGTGAGGGTTTTGTAGCATTTTCGACTACAACCACCACTACACCACACTACAGTCCAATACATTACACTACGCTACAACTACAACTACAACTACACCTTCGCTACACTAAATTACACTACACTCCACTACACTCCACTACACCACATTGCACTCAATTACACTCAATTACACTACACTACATTACATTACATTACACTACACTACACTCCACTACACTACACTACATTACACTACACTACATTACACTACACTACACTACATTACACTACACTACACTACCTTCCACTACACTACATTACACTACACTACGCTCCACTACACTACACTTCACTACAACTACAACTGCACAACTACACTCCACTACACTCCACTACACTAAATTACACTACACTACACTACATTACACTACACTACACTCCACTACACTGCACTACACTACATTACACTACACTACATTACACTACACTACAACTACACTCCACTACGCTCCACTACACTCCACTACACTCCACTACACTAAATTACACTACACTAAATTACACTACACTAAATTACACTACACTACACTACATTACACTACACTCCACTACACTACATTACACTACACTACCTTCCACTACACTTCACTACATTGCACTACACTACACTCAACTACACTACGACTACAGCTACAACTACAACTACACTACACTCCACTACACTCCACTACACTTGACTACACTAAATTACACTACACTACACTACACTACATTCCACTACACTTCACTACATTACACAACACTACCTTACAATGAATGACACTGCACCACAGATAGACAGGTAGACAGATAGACAGATAGAGAGATAGATGGATAGATAGATAGATACGTAGATAGAAAGATGGATAGATGGATACATAAACAGAAAGATATAGATAGATAGATAGATAGATGGATGGATGGATGGATAGATAGATAGATAGAAGATAGATAGGTAGGTAGGTAGATAGTCAGAGAAAGAGAGAGAAAGAGAGGAGACCTCAAGCACCTTTCGGTCCATCAGTGGATTCGCTCTGCCATCCCTGATTCACAACAACCAATCTCTCCTATAGGTTTCCTATTTTTGAAACTTCCGCCACCGCCTTGTGCGGTACTACTGGTATTGTTTGTATTACTTTGGTTGCTTCATCCATCTTCTGATATGAGCTGCCCGGAATTTCTTTCATTTTTTTAGCGGAAAACTACAGTAATGACATTTGAATAGCTAATGCCCGTCCTAGGGGTTGTTCGTGATAACAAATTCACAAAGTAGAAGGTGTATAGGTTCAGTAAACAGGTAGTAAATCAATAGTACATGAATACAATACAAGAGATACATACGCTGTGGAAAGTTGGGGCTGGATAAGGTATAAGGAGCATACGGGCCAAGCAAGGGAGAAAAGTAGTATATAAGCAAAATGGACACAGTTGTAGGTTGTAGGTAGAATGTAGGTGTGTGTATGTAGCCAACTATGGGTAGCAAACGAGCAGCACGTAGTAGAAGAGCAGCAGTTTGGTAGGCGGTAGAGAAGCAGATGGGTTTACAGCATATTGGTAGCCAGGGTCTGGTTGGGAGGTTGCAGCTCCGAAATGTTGCAAGCAGCGCCAAATTTGGGAGGCGTGGGACAAACCTAACAGCTACTAGACTATATCCGAAGGAGCTGGAAATATGACAAAATGTTGGCCTGTCTGAAAATGGTGTATACCCTTTTCAATCCAATTTAATATATGAATAGGGGAAATAATGATTCATTCCTCAGATCCGGATATCCATTTTGAACAGATTCCCTTTATCCATGTCAAATTTTGGGTTATCCTGTTAGACAAAGCTCTACTCCAGGCCCCTGGATCATCAACTTCCGGGCCTGGAACTGATGGGGTCACCTCCACCAAATGGTGGACTCGTCGAAAAAGATCCTCCAAGCGACTGCTTGAGCAGCAGCTCTCCTGGCCAAACCCGGGCTGGAAAACTTCTCTGGGGAACATTCCAACACGAAAAAAATAGACTAAAACCACCAACACATGGGTTGTAACGAGTTGATATATATCATTTATATATTTTTGACAATGTTTTTCGAAGCTGGGGTTTTATCATTGAAACCCACTTCTGGATCAATAGCTGCGAGGACCAATGTTTAACATGAATTACGTCTAGGTCTATGGCCAATATCTGGGCAAGCTGAGCGCCAGCTGCCATCCTACAAGCAGCTTTTACCAAATACAAACCGGCTGCACCAAATATGCTGATTCCATCATGTCTTTGATCTTACTATCATAACTAGGCATTCTCATCCATTTCCCCCAGCCTCTAACTGTGCTGCACCGACAAAAAACCAAGAGGTTATCTTAGATGCTCACACACTACAATCACAAGCAATCACCATTTATCCGCTTGGTTGTTGATTGGGGATGGCCACCCCTAGGAAAAAGATCAAACATATGGATAAATTACAAGAATTTGCGCGCCTAAAAAGTTCGGTCATTTAGGAGCGATCTATACCAAGCCCCAAAAATATACAGAATATACAAAGTTTCCAGGTTAACTTTTCGGCATCTTTTTGAAGGTTGCTACATCCAGAAACATACGATCACCAAGTCTCTGCTAGTCGTTTCAAGGGTTCATTGAGCTCTCGGAGGAGCATCAGGGCTTCCGTTGCCGTAAACTCCAGGACAATGGCTGTGACGCCATTGGGCAACGAACCCAGGCCCACCGGTCGGCCGTTGGACATCGTGAGCGATATGAAAGGCTGCCCAAACCATGGAGAACACATGGGAAATTCTTGGGAAATTCTTGCGCATGTGGAGATAGATCAACATGGGACACATTTTGTTGGTCATGAAATTGGTCTTTTTGAGCTAGTTCTTACTTGCCGTGTTGAACAATGAACATTTAATCATACGTGGGGCATCGGGAAGATTTCTCGCAAACCGGAAAATGGCCCACGCTTATGTTCTATTATATTCTATTCATATGTTCCATGTTTCCCCTCTGGCAATTCTTTTGGCTTTCAAATGTCACAAGCAATTTCCAGGCATACGCATGCGACAAGGCCAACGCACAACTTTGATTTCAAAGGTGGTCCCACATTCAAGAGGCCACAAACAGTGTGGGGGGTAGGAAGTCAATGTACCGGGTACTAGCCACAGTAGCTATGGAACAGTAACAGATGAGGTTAGACATGATCGCAACTACAGCAGTAGGACCTCCTATATAGATCTATACAGAGGAGCTCGCTCACATGATCTTCATACAAGAACTTCCTATGAGCATCCCAGAAGAACTTTCTACACGCACGGATGCAGAGGATCTTCAAGATCTTAATGCCAGGACCTCTTGAGGTGTACCAGATCACGTAAGGACACTAAGAGGATTTTGTTCGGAACTATTCAAGAGCTTCGCGCCAGGACCTGTACAAGATCATGCAAATGCCTCTGACAGCTTTTGACTGTAGGATCTCCACAAGATCTTTGCGCAAGGAAGTGTAAAAGACATTGGGCAAGATCTTCGTGCGGGAACCTCGCAAGATGGTCAAAAAAGGACCTGCTGCTGCTGGAGCAGATCTTACAAGATCTTGATACAAGAACCTCCCAGGAGGCAGCTTCCATGCAAGGATTTTAAGACATGGAGGACCTGATCTTACCAGGATCTCTGCAAGATCTTCTGTTCAGGAGCTGTACAGTACAGGATCATGCAAGGACCTCTTCGGGAGGAATTTACGAGGATCTCCACAAGAGCCCGTTCACGCGAGAATTTACAATGAACATGCCGCAGGCCCAGGGCTTGAGAACCTGGCGGCGCGGACTTTGTGCGAGCCTGCGCGGTCGAAATGCACATGGACATCTGACAAGAGCAATTTTACGTGAGAATTCTCAGGGAAAAAGCCGGGGCCCAAGATCTGGAGAACCTAGCGTTGCAGACTTTGTGCGGGCCTGCGCAGTCATGGGCACCCCACAAGAGCAAGCGCGAGAATCTACAGGAAAAAGACCGGAGATCAGATGGAGCACCCTGATCTAACCCCGGCCTTAACCCCTACCGTAGAAACCCTCAGTGTGGACACACTGTTTGGGGAAAACAGCCAGGAGCAAGATATCATCGGCCATGTCAAACACACTTCTGAATGACCCCACGGTTGAAAAGGTGTCAATTCCGATGGTCATCAGTATTTTCCGTGCAAAACTGGGACACACGCGCACATGTATATTACAATATACATATCATATCATATCATATCATATTATGATATATTTTCTATATCATGGTATGGTATGATTAAGAATGTACTTGAATGCACAGTATGTACAGCTTGGCCTGGAAGAAACATCGCGTAGCACTTCAAGGCACGGCCCCAATACTTAAGACTTTGCTTTGGTCAATTCCCGGGCCTCCAACCCATGTTAAACCTCCACACAACCAAGATAAGAAATTGCTGCAATTGAAAAACAAGGAGAATGTCGATTTTCTTCCTCAGAACTGAGCAGCTTGTGGGTTTTCACCGCGTCGTCACTCGGGCTGGCCATGTGGTTTGTTCCAAGCTAACCACCCAAGGGGCAGCGAAAACAGCCGGCTCCTTGTTCGGATTAGCGGGTCAAATTCGTCAAAAACCGCTTGAGACCCACAGGTGCCGCTGACTTGTCTTTGTTTGTATCTTGCAGTCTTTCAGTGGAACGTTTGCAAGATGTTGCAAGTTTATATTTTGAAGCATTTGGAGCCTATCCTGATACTTCGCGTCCACCAGCGGACCAATCCTCCAGAGGTGGTAGCAAAGGTCCATCCAAATCAAGTGCACGTCCAGCGAAGCGCTCCACCTGCTCTCTCCTCGCAGAGCCAACTGGGAACGAGTTGATGACCAAATCTTACACCATGACTCGCTGCAAGTCAAACAAATATTCAAAACCTACATTTCCATAGCAGAATTTCTTGCAGGATCTGGACTTTCTCTGAATTCTGACGCATGCTGACACTCTCACAACTGGAATGTATCTACAACCACCAACATGATCTCCAACATGCGATAGTTTTCCAATGTCAGCAAAGATTCTGCACAGCAGATCCAGGCCATATCCCATTTCTGGCCCCGCGGAGTCGCTCCGCTTTGTTGTAGAGGTCTTCAGCCTCTGCTGGGCTGAGACCATAGCATGTCACCAGAAGAGCACAAATCAAAGTTCCTGTTCGACCATGTCCCCCCCAGCAGTGCACGTACACACCGCGGCCCTGTAGAAGCTTCTTCACCAGAGTGCGAAGGGCACAAAGCAGTTGGTCATCAGAGGTGACATCATTGTCCTGAATAGGGCAATGAAAGAACTCCAAGGCATCCGGAAACTCGGTTGATTCAGACTTTCTCAGCGTCTCCGCCGTGGTCACATAGGGAGTAAAGCGCTTCAATTCACCGTGTTCCTGCAAACATATAAAGGTGTTCACCCCACCATCCAACAAACTACGCACTTTGGCGCTGTGATTCGGTTCCGTTCGGTCACCTGGGAAGCTGCCGGCCAACAGCTTGGGCAACATCCAGTGGCAGGTTGCATGCGGCCCCGGGTCCAGCTGCAAATCCGGCAAGCCATCGATTGAGCTTTTGATGTGGCTGCCATCCATGGCTCCATTCATTTCAAGTAAGAGCTGAACATCTAATGTTTTTTCCATGTTTTTTCCTCAACATGGAACTAGGTACATAATGAAATCCACTTGGAGAACCTAGTGAAGTCGTTCATGCATAGAGCTTTTAAGTTGTTTTTTGCCTAGCAATGTCCTGTGCAGCAAATCTGTGCACTTATGCGGTGTAAAGCGTGGTGCAAGAAAATGCAATTGTATGAAACGGTACGAAAAGAACAGTGATAATAAACACACATACCAGCACATGTCTGTATATACGCATTTTGTGGATGCATGAAGGCGCACACACACAAACCTACCTCTATATCTATATATATATATATTTACACACACACATATATATATATATCTAAATATGTGTATTTACATATTTTATATATATATTATAAAAATATGTGCGTAATTTACATACATAGCAGTGGCACATATTCATGCAAATCAACACACCATACCATACCATACCATACCATACCATTTGGGAAGCAAACTGGGTTTCACCCTCTGGTAGTCAAACATAGCAAAGGAACATCCATTTTGATCATTTTTTGAATAGGCAATAGGGATATCATTCAGACATGGAGGACGTTCTCTGTTAGGTTAGATGGTCTCAAAACATATCAACACATGTCAAAATGCATTGCCGGTACGACTCGTCAGCAAAACTGGGCTACGAGTATGATGTGCTCCCAGTGTAGCAACGGTTGAGACATTCTGACACACATACACTCCCTATCATGTCCTAAGATTCCTCACAGTGCCTGGCTCCAATCACATTGCGCAATTTTTATATTCAAACAATTCCACATAGTGCTACCGTAGCTACCATTCAGTTTGATTGGATTAGCCATGACTGTCTGAGCAACTGGATATCTGGGTGGGACATCTTCTCCAGCTCGTGAACTCGTGACCTCCAACAACATCCCAAAAGAAGTATGTGTTCTCATCAGCTATCAATATCTATAGATGACAGTGTACAATCATGATTGATGGTTTAATGTTGACTGAATTTACATGTTTTATTCTAGCCACCATATACTTCCAACCATTAATCTACGAATCACCTTCAAAGATCATCAACAGTCATCGAATACAAGCATGAGGAACATGAGTATCATCTCCATGCTCTCCAACGCATCACTTCACCCACCCCAACGTGGTTAGCCTTGTCTCACTCTGTCGCAGCAGGTTCAACGAGTCGGTGGCTCATTCACCACAGCCGAAGATTGGGCCGAAGACAGTGCCATGACAGAGCCCGGAGCGTGGCGACGGATCTTCCAACGGTCCAAACAGCATCCAACATCATCCAACATCATCCAACATCTGCCTTAGGCCGACAGATCCGACAGCCAGGATAAAAAATCCTGTAGCACAGCTCTTTCTTCATCCAAGATCTGAAAGCAGGCTTGCTGAGCAAAAATCTCCCAATCTTGCTCTTGGAGTGTGCGCTCGCCAATCTCACCCATCTCGACACTTGGTTTGCTACGCCTCAGCATTTGCTCAGCAGCAGTCTTGCATCCGTCCCGGGCCGCCATCTCAATGACAGGATCGCTTGGTTCACCAGGAGTTGGCTCGCCACTGCGACTACAAATGGCTGCTGCTCGTTGCAACTGGAGGTGCTGATCAAAGTTCAAGCGGTTGAGTTCCAGTACCGTCTCCCTTCCAAATCGGCCACCAGAAGACGACCAGAGTTGTTTCTTCTTCAGAATGACCTGCGGATCTGTGTCAGGTATCTGCGGCGTTGGGATGGTCATCGAAACTGAAGCGGAAATAGCTGACTTGGGCAAGACGAAACCATAGTCCAAGAGCAACATAGCGTTGGGCTTGTCTCCGTAAGACTGTAGAACTTCTTCATCCTTCGTGAGGTCTTTTGTTAAGGTCATGACAAAATCGCCTCGGGCCGAGTTCTCTAAGGGTCCTCGGGCGGAGACTTTAAATTAGTATACAATCCTTCAGGGAAAGGCTGGATACCTCTGGATACCTAGGATCTCGAAAGCCCCTCCAGCTTTCAGATTCGAACATATTGAGTGCCCTAGACACCCTGGAACTCCAAGCATCGCCAGTTTCACATGTTTCACTGCTCAGTGGCTTTGTACGACTTCATCCAGAACGTGATATCGAGCCTGCACCTGGAACCCGACACATCGAACCCAAGAGGGGTCCTTCTCTAGTACATCACTGAGCCTTCGTGATATTTGGGACCATCTTTGAGACACACAAGACTGAAGTTTCCCAATTGCAAGACCATGGAAAGGACCTCTGGGAATATACGCTTCAAACATCGGATCATTTGATCTTGACATTATTCAACAGATATCAGCAAATATGTGGGCCTTCTGGCGATTCAATTCGATCCGCAGCCCAGTGATCAAAGAAGTTTGGATGTGGATTAAGCCCACAGAGATATATGACACCAGCAGATCGAGAATGATAGGCTGGTACAAAATATAGTTTGGCTTCAGCTCTTCAGCTTCAGCTGTTAAACATGTGCCCATATCCATCTAGGCTGGGAGATGATTTGAGCTCACCTCATGGGAAGCTCCGTGGTTTAGGAGATCGGCCCATGGGACCAGACAGCGTTGCCCACGAAGTGCGTAGGCGCCTCGCTGGTTCCACCGAAGGGACAGAGCCCTCTGGTAATCAAACATGGCAAGCTGGGAAGTCCCCCGAACTCAATGGAAGTGCTGTGAAATGCTGTGAAAATCCCCTAAAATGGATAAAAATGGTGGATTTCCCAGCTGACCATCACTTTGATAGCTGGTATCGGGTATCCGAGTGTCACCATGACGGCACAGGTCCCAGCAGGGGTTGTTCAGCCATTGGATTTCTATTGAGGTTTCACCTATTGCCATCTTTGATTTGACAGATTATAGAGGTACCAGTATGGCAATTACATGCAATTATCATGGGTCGCAGCCGTAGAGATTTATCTATATATATATATAATTATATAAATGGAAAACACTTTTTTTGGACCTCATTACATTTCTTTTGGACCTGGACACTTTTACTGGACCTTACTACAATTCTTTTGGAGATGGCTACCCTTCTTTTGGACCTGCGCACCCTCCTGCTGGACCTCATCCTTCCCTCCTGCTCGACCTGGCCCTTTCCCAAACCATACCCCTTTTGGATAGATTCTCCGGTTCTGTCCAGCCGCGTCTGCATCGCAAGTTTCAGACAGTAGGGCGCTAGAGCTGCACTAGCATGCAACTGGGCAGGAAGTGCCATGTAGTGTTGTCCTCACAGCTTGAACCGACTTGGACACTCATCCTGGTGAGTTCGTTGCTGCTTGCGAGGGGTATAGCCAGTCTGGGAGCCTTGAACTCCAACCTGTGCGACAGGAAGGACAGTTACCCTGGCTGCCGTGCATGGACAGTAGGGGGCTAGAGCCGCGCTAGCAGCGTCTGCTTCGCAATCCCCAGGGTGGGTCATTGGTGAGTTCGTTGCTGCTCGCGAGGGGTATAGCCAGTCTGGGAGCCTTGACCGCGCTAGCAGCTAGCATGCAACATGGGAGGAAGCCTTTCCTGTACACGCTCTGCTCCCAAACCATACCCTCTTTGGATAGATTCTCCAGTTTCTGTCCAGCCGCGTCTTGATCGCAATTCTTCAGACACAGTTCTTGCATTCATCTTCTTGCATTCCAGCCGCGTCTACATGTCCATACGTCCTGTGACCGGATACTAACCAACGAGGTTACATTGATTTCGATGTCGACTCATGTGCCACCCTCAGCTGCGACCATTGCGCCCAGGAGCATCCCTCGCCGGTACGTTTACACATCTGTCCATGACGGTCTTCGTTGCCTGCAGCCGATGTGGGTTCAATGTCTAGGCTTCACCCGTCAACTCTCAGCAACTTATTGCGCTCATCTTGTTCTAATATCTATAACTTCCTCTTCCCCCAATGTGCCTTTCAACTTCCTGCATCCATTTGGTTTCATATGTAGGTTTCCCCCCGTTGGCCTCTCCACAACTTCTTGCCTTTATGCTGTTTCAATATACGATTTTCTCCTGCGCCCCTGTGCCGCTCAGCAACTTCCTGCATGCATTTGGTTTCAATACCTCGGCTTCTCCTGTCTGTCAACAACTTCTTGCGCTCATCTGGTTTCAATACCTAACTTCCCCCCCTGTGCCTCTCATCAAACTTCTTTAACTTCCTGCATTCATTGGGCTTCAATATCTATAGTCTCCAGGGAGTGCAGCGCCAATCTCCTTGTGACACATTGGGTTTCCTACCTCCTTCCCATTCTGCCCTCTTCTTCTCAATTTCTACTCTTCACACCTCAGTGCCCCACTTGGGAGCATTCACCTGGCTTCAATATCTAAACTTCCCCCCCTTGTGCCTCTCACCAATTTCCTGCATTCATTCGCTTGGTCTCAAGACTTCACCTCTGGCCTCTTAACAACTTTTTGCATGCATCTCAACTTGGTTTCAATGTCTAAGCTTCTCCCCTTGTCTCTCAACAACTTCTTGCGCTCATCTGGTTTCAATACCTAACTTTCCCCCCTGTGCCTCTCATCAAACTTCTTTAACTTCCTGCATTCATTGGGCTTCAATATCTATAGTCTCCAGGGAGTGCAGCGCCAATCTCCTTGTGACACATTGGGTTTCCTACCTCCTTCCCATTCTGCCCTCTTCTTCTCAATTTCTACTCTTCACACCTCAGTGCCCCACTTGGGAGCATTCACCTGGCTTCAATATCTAAACTTCCCCCCCTTGTGCCTCTCACCAATTTCCTGCATTCATTCGCTTGGTCTCAAGACTTCACCTCTGGCCTCTTAACAACTTTTTGCATGCATCTCAACTTGGTTTCAATGTCTAAGCTTCTCCCCTTGTCTCTCAACAACTTCTTGCACTCATCTGGTTTCAATATCTAACTTCCCCCCTGTGCCTCTCATCAAACTTCCTAAACTTCCTGCATTCATTGGGTTTCAATATCTACACTTCCCCCGCAGCCTCCCCATAACTTCTTGCGTTCATTTTGTTTTAATATCTAAGCTTCCTCCCCGGTGCCCCGCAACAACTTCCTGCATTCATCTTGCTTCAATATTCCCGGTGCCCCTGAGCAACTTCCTGCATTCATTTGGTTTTATATCTGGCTCCACCGTGGCCTCCCAAAGTCCCCCCCACCTGTGCCTCTCCACAGCTTCCCGCATTCATGCGGTTTCAATATCTCAGCTTCCCCTCGTCTCTCCACAGCTTCTTGCATGCACCGTCATTTGGGTTCAATATCTGGACTTCCGCTTCTCGTCTCAGCAACTTCTTGCGTTCATCCTTGTTTCGATGTCTAACTTCCCCCTCTCCCTCTCACCAATTTTCTGCAGGCACCTGGCTTCAATCTCTACATGTTCCCCCGTTTCACCTTCTTGCATGCATCTTGTCTCAATATCTAAATTCCCCCCACCTTCTTCTGGCATTCATTTTCGGGTCCCAAAATTCACCGTGCGTCTCTCAGCAATGTTTTGCATGTATCTTCATGTATCTTTGTTTCGTTTCAATGTCTAGGCTTCACCCCTCATCTCTCAACAGCTATTTGCGCTCATCCTGTTTCGATATCGAACTTTCCCTTTCCCCTATCTGCCCATCAATTTCCTGCATCCATTTCGCTTCATACGTAGACTTCGCCCATTGGCCCCTCCACCACTTCTTATGTTTTCATTGTTTCAATACCGGAACTTCCCCGGCATCAGCAACTTCTTGCATGCATCTTGTCTCAGTATCTAAATTCCCCCCACCCTGTGCCAGGTCCAAAAAAACGCGCACGGGTTCCAAAAAAGAAGGCGCCAAGGTCCAAAACATCCAGCCCAGCGCCTATAACAATGGAGTTCCCCCCCCCCCACCCTATGGAGGCAAGGTCCACGAAGCAGGTGCACGGGCCCAAAAAACAGAAACCGAGCTCAGAAACAATTAATTTGGCTGTCGAAAAAAAAAATCCCTGGGTCCAGCACAAACACATGCAGGTCCAAAAAAAATATCCCCACAGGGCCCAGAAAACACACAAGCAAGTCCCCCACATTTTTTGTGACCCTAGGTCCAAAAAAAATTCTCGTTTGGTCCAAAAAAACATGTACATGTCCAAAAAAAGGGTGCCCAGGTCCAAAAAACATGCATCCAATTATATATATATAATTCTGAGGTGGACAGATTCAGCCAACAACCCTTGGCATAAAACAAACCATCGCACAACATCTGCCAGCTGTGCATGCAGGGGACGACTGGCCACAACACACCGGGCCCAAAGAAATTCCTGGAGCAATCCGGGTCTACCACTCCCGGTGGAAAATAGGTCAGGTTTGGTGGAAAAGGGAAGGACAAACACAAATCTTTCCCAGAAAAAAACAAGGAAAATCGCATGGACTATCGCTGGTTGATGCTGGTTGGTGGTTTTTACATGTTTTTACCTACCCCCCAAATTTCCAAAGATGTTCGTCATCCCAACTAATCATTTCATCTCACCATTCTACAAAGTCAATGGCTTGGTCGGACAGCATGTGCTGTACTGGAGCTGGTGTCTGGACAAAAATCCTCAGCATCCCAAGTATGGTTGAAAGTAAACACTATGTGACGCCCCCAACCACATAGGATTCCGCAGGTATTTTTTTTTCAGGAGCGATTGGAGAGGAGCTGTTCAATGACTCTACCTCACGGAATTCCAGCATGGAACATCAGCTATGAACATCTAAAAAACATATTAAACTCCATAAATTGAGGCTGCTCAACGGGTACAGTCAAACGACAAACTCATGCCTAACTCATGCCTGGGTCAAAACTTGCTAGTCGATCATCATGGAATCGCTGTTTCAAGAAACTCATGCCTAAGTCATGCCCAAATCTTAAAACACCATGGAATCGCGTATGTATAAGAAGAATGTTTCCAACTTGGGAAAATCAAATGTTCGCAAAAATCCGTCTACAGTTGCGTTCTATCGTTCGTGTTTCTTGGGTTGAGAAATACTTGCCGCTTCGGTCCGCTGACTCTCTTCGCTTTGCTGACTCTTTTCGCTTTGTCACTCTGCCATCCGTGATTCACAACAACCAACCTCTCCTATAGGTTTCCTGTTTTTGAAACCACGACGTGCCGAACGACGTCCGAACGACGTCAAAAAATAACAAGAAAGGCTCTCTGCCCACCCGCCTGCGGAACCACATAAGAAACTAAAACCGACACGAAGACACAACAATGACCCTTCTCACCTCCATCTCAAGCAACACGCTGAAGTGCCACAATGCCGCGTTGAGCACGCAGTGAAAAGTGAAAATGGCTGCCGCAGGAAATACAAAATAACCCGAGACATTGAACACACTGGAAAGAAAAAGATAGAAACACCAACTAATCGCTACACTCACATCCAGTTTGACTCGGTATGGAAAAGGTTACTCTCGATGCTAAACACAACCTAATAGCAAGGTTTATTAGCAAAAACTATTCCAAAGACCAAATCGAACAAAACATTGCAATTCCTATGTTTTACTAAAAAGGCACGACTTTTCAAATCAAGTGCTCCCCAGCTATTTACGATCATTTCCTAATTTTAGGCACGACTTTAGCAGTCAACTGTAGCCACCAGCCAGTCCAGTTCTCGCTCCTCCCACGTGTAGCTCGGGGCGAAGCTCTGAAGCAATGAAAACTCCAGTCCAAGGCTGTGCCTCCCATTCCGGTCACTTTAGTGTTGCACAGCCCATAGCAATTGTATATTCTATAGGCTGTAGGTCCTATGCTATCTCACCACTTAACATCTCTTAGTCTTAACCATTTGGAAGGTTTCTTAACCGGAAAATGTGCGCAGTTTCGTGTTTGGTTCATCATATCATCATCATATTCTCACAGTATCTCTCTGTTGTCTGAATTTCGACATGACATGACCCACCTTTTCGCTCGAATTTGACGCTCCAAATGGCTGCCCTTGATGCCGGCATGCAGCCAATGACCCTCGGGCCAAGATGCGGGCAGGGCCAAGCATCGGGGCAAAACATGGTAGTAGGGGCTGTAGAACTGATCTCTGAGATCTCTGGAGCTTGCAGAACTTTGAGCCCGTTCTTGAAGTAGAAATGCGCTGAGCAGCAGCAAACCAGGTGCTGAACCAAACTCCTGGCTGCCAAAAAAATCAGACATCCGATCCTTACCCATCTGTCTTGCGGCCTTTGGATACCTTCGGAAATTTTGGTTTATGCCCTTCAGCAGTTAAAAAAAAGGAGGACCACCTGAATCAAAGACATACCACAGTCTACACTTTCCACACCACAAAAAACCGGCAATAGGAAACATGTAAGGGACGGACCTTTTTTTGACATTGTACAAACATTGAGGTCAGCGATGAGGCCTTCCCTGATACATTTGCACATGCATCATGTTCATTTAGGCGGTTTACGTGATGCTCCCCAGACATGCGAGCGATGGGTGCCTCTCAAATCGGCAGCTGCCAGGAGGAAACATGTTGCCGTGTTGCCAAATATGCCATGCCGTTTTTACGGGAAGACCTGCAGGAAACAATGCTAGGTTCAATTAATCTAATTAATTATAATCAATTATATCATCCAGCACCATCAGCATCACCAGCATCACCAGCATCACCAGCAGCATCAGCAGCATCAGCATCACCAGCATCACCAGCATCACCAGCATCACCAGCACCAGCATCACCAGCATCACCAGCATCACCAGCACCATCAGCACCATCAGCATCACCAGGATCACCAGCACCACCAGCACCACCAGCACCAGCAGCACCATCAGCATCAGCAGCACCAGCAGCACCATCAGCATCACCAGCATCACCAGCATCACTGGCATCACCAGCATCACCAGCATCACCAGCATCACCAGCATCACCAGCATCACCATCATCACCATCATCATCATCATCATCATCACCATCACCATCACCATCACCATCACCATCACCACCACCACCAGCATCATCATCATCATCATCATCACCATCACCATCACCATCACTATCACCATCACCATCACCATCACCATCACCATCATCATCATCATCATCAGCTTGGCTTTTCAATTTCATCCTCCCCAAGACCCCTTCACCTCTGCAGACATGCGCAGGTCGCGACCAAAGGACAGTGACTCTTCTGCCACCTGCTCCGAGATCAGCAACCGCCAGGGTAAGCGACACAGCTCTGCCGAGCTCAGCGGCTCAGCCGCAACCACGCCACGGCCGCGGGCCCCACAGCTGATGCGAAGAGATGGATGAGTAAAGCCACCGTTCTCGGCAATCCAAGACCTCCCATGGTCCCATGGTCTTGGATTGCGGTTTTAAAAAAAATGTTGGAAATGGAAGCCTCAAACTAGAATCGTTTGCTGGGAAAACATCAACAAACATCAACAAACACACCCTTTGGACCCTTTTCGGATCCTTCTTGGAGTTCCTTACTTTTGGCCATGCAAAATCAACATCTTCACTAGGTACTGTATGACAACCCAAGCAAAGCCAGCATTCCATGGATTTAAGGGACAATTTGCAGAAGACCTTGTTTTTGTTCACATTTTCCTACCAGAAAATAATGCTTTTTGCAAAACTACATATTCCTCTTCAACCACTTCTGGAAATCAGTCATTCAACCGACTAGACGAGGAAAACCTCCCTATGTGCCAATTTATGTCCCAAAGACTCCAGGCCCTTGATTGCCGCCACATCATCCATGGGTAAGGATGCTGCGCTGGACGCTGCAGAAGTTCCGGCATGCTCCGGCATGGGATTTTAGAGGTGTCATATGGTCTGATGCTTCACCAAACACGCTCTTGAAAAGTCTAGCAGTTAGCAGTCTAGCTATTCTCAGGGTCAGCTCCTTTTTCCAAGGAAATGAGATGATCTGTCTCATGAAGTTGTTGAATATCATTCAACAACTAACCACAAGCCATTATGTTTCTATGAACCTAGTCAATCCTAGTCATGGGTTGCTCATGGAGCAAGATATGCAATGGCCATGGTCCAAAAACGTGCAGAAAATCGCCATGGCCGCCATGGTGCGCACGGCGTCATGGGATCTTTTCCAGGAACAGCGGAGACTTCGTCTTGGAGACTTCGCCGATCGGCAATCCGGCGGACAAAAGTCCGGATGATTCCGGGTCACATGGGTCACCAACAACCGGAAACCATGGAATCCCATGTTTCGATGGTCGAGAATGACCCACAAAATCCACAAATCGAGCACGCAAGTTGGTAAGCATTGGTAACCCATTTTTAAGCCCTCTCAGTCAAGGATTGTCCTCCATGGATTTGGCCACTGACATGTTTGCAAAGAATCACCAAATCATAGTGACGCAGAGCCGTGAGGTCATTATAATTCGTTAATTCATCCAGAAAAATCATAAAAATCATAGTTCAAATGTATAAAAATCATTAAACATCATGGTTTTATTGGTTTTCAACTTCTACAGGTTTTCATAAGCGTTCCGTGGTTTTCTGAAGGTCTTCTAAGCATCTCCCCATCGGTCCTCGTCCCGTCAGGGACCGGCAGGTGGGGTTTCGACCTCAGGAGTACTCTTTGGCCAAGTCCTCAAAGTCGACTCGTAAGCCATCACGGAAGACCACTGGCTTGTACTCACCTGGCTCCGAGCCAAGAACAAATCTTGGGATCTGGCTGGATGTTCATCTGCCATCATCTGCCATCATCCACCTAAATATCCTAAATATGATGATGATGTACAATGGGTTTTGATCCATGGCCCATCGCTATTTGAGTATCGGAATTTATTGGATAGACTTAGGCTGCAGCAGACAGGTTCCTGGACTGCAAGCACAAATCGGAGCAAAACTTTGCTGGAGATACCCTTGTTGAAGTGCAGCACTGCTTTCTTTGTGAGCTGCTGAACATTCCTGCATCATCGGTCCCAGTGCAAAGATTGCCTATCTCTTGAAAATCACCTTCTCTACTGTACCCGGGAAATTTCTGAAACTGGATCAAGTAGATTGTGGATGATCCCGATGGCAAGTCCAATTGATGGACGAGGACTTGCATAAACTACGACCTACGCCTGATCCTTTCCAAACAACCCCTCAATCACAAGCATCTGTGGCCTGGATAAACCCTGCACATGGGCAGGATTCACTGTGGCAATCTTTTGACCTCGAAAAAATGACGCCAGCCGGACTGAGCCACAGGACGGCCGGCCATCCAAAACAAAGCTCCGGGATGCCCAGCTGTTCTGCTTCTTAAAGCGGTAGCCCTGAGTCAGAGCGAATTCCAACAATCCCTGAGTCGTTTGGGGTGATGAAAAGAGAATCACGTGAACGAATGGGCAAAAAGATCTTGATGACAATGACTCAATGACATGGGGAAACTCCGCACCAAACGATGGCACCAAACGCCAGATTTCTATGAGGCCTCAAAGTGCTCCGAAAAGCGGGTCATGTTCGCCGGATCCAAGAAATTAATGAAGGCATAGCCTCCCAAGGGTGCAATGGAAGCTGGAAAGATTCACAGTCTCTCCCAAAGGAGGGAGCGTTCAAATCCACTGGCTTATCTCATCTCCCCTGGCCCACTTGGGGTGTAGTGCTGCATGTGCTGTGTCCGTATTCCTATCATTTCCAGACAAAGCCACACATACAGAACATACAAACATACCCTTCTGCACCATCTTCTCTGCTTCAACACCATCTGTGTCATCTGCAGCTAGAGCCTACATTTGTTTTATTCCTCACGTCCATGGGCAGGTAGAAGAAGTCGTACCTGCGATCCGAGAAGAATCACGAAAATGGCAAGGAGATTTTCGGAGATTTTCGGACTGGCGGCAACCCTTGATATCCCATGATAAAATTGAGTGTTTCAGGTATTTTCAGTTAACCAGGGCTCCACACAAGCCGGAGAAGCCCTCGGCATCAATCTCGTCAAGCAAGGAATTCTGCCATGCCGCGTCGATGAGTGGAGTGCAGCTTAGACTCACGCATGATTTTTGCATCTGATCTCCCCTTAGCAAATCCCTTCTAGCATCATGTGCCTCCTTAGCCCACACAGAGCTCGCAGTGCCTGTGAGAGCCTGTTGGGAATATTTCTCAGCATTGCCGTAGTGGCAGGTCCATTGGCTTCATTGGCCAATAGGTCCGTTACCTGGCCGCCAACTGCCACCCGTGGCCGTCCATGGCCCAGCAATCCCTTCCTGCTAGTTCCAGCCTTGGGCACGCTGGTGGCATGGTAGGGCTTGAATTCCTTCTTCCCAGATCCACCTTTCGCTTTCTTCTTGCCTTCGTGGGTGGAATTGATCTTTTGCCCGGAGATTTTTGGATCACATATGAAACACACCAGATGAAACCAATCCACCAACCCCGCTCCAGTAACTCCACCTTTAGGAAGGTAGGTAAGGTTGTTATAATATGTTCCAATTTGGTGGTTTGTTGATCCCCTAAAAGTATAAACCCCCAAAGACTAAAGGTCTAAGTTTTTGTGGCTAATTCATCAATCCAGATAATCCACGATAATCCACTATCAAATGGCATAGCCCCAGTCTGGGGACCTGCTCACGACAATGATTCTGGTCAACTCAAGCTAATCTATTTATCCATTCGGGGGCACCTCTGACAATGATATGATATGACGCTACTATGAAAAACAGGGACATATATATAGACACATATATAGACACAATTTAACCTGGACCCCCAGCATTGTAGCATGGCTAGCGGCTAGATCCAATAGACAGATCATCTTTGCACATGCCATCTTTGGCGTTCCATGGTTTACCCTCTGGTAAGCGTTTACATAGCTATGGAAAATCACTATTTTTAATGGGTAAATCATGGTAAATCCACTATTTCTATGGCCATTTTCAATAGCTTTTTGTATGTTTACCAGAGGGTATATCCCATGAATATCCCATTGAATCACTATAAAATCCCATTAAATCACTATAAGTTCCATGGTTTACTAATCTTGGGCTTAGCCGTGTGTCCCACTCTCCTGAGTCACCTGAGTCTCGTCTCTCCCTCGAGCGGCTCCGGGACCCGTTCCTAGATCCAACTGCTGGGTATCCGCCTCAAAAATGCCATGGGAAATTGCAGGGAAAGAACACCACCACCGGAACCAACGTCTTTATTTCCTGGCCCAGGCTTTCAGCTGTTCGAACTTTGGAGGTAACCACCAAGAATAGAAAAGAACTCCACTGAAATGCTTCGAAGTTGCCAAATCACTGAGTGCCACACTAAAGGGATACCCAGCTGCGTAAGGATCATAAGGAGGGTATAGCACCCAGTGTTGAGGTGCTCCATAGGCACCAGCCTGAAGCAGGCCATGTGCTTTTGGGCCTGGTGCTGTAGGACCACTGTAGGATTTGTTTTCCCTAAAAAAAAAGAGATCTGGCAGATAGAGACTCCAAAGTCAAACAAAAACAAGAGAGGAGTTGACTCAGTGGCATAGCAATCCCATTCCCACATATATTCAGTACTCCATAGTACTCCCAATGATGGGTCCAAGATAGATCCACTCAAACCATGCTTCGTATAGCCACGAAAAATCACGGGCTATTCAGACTTCTACAGACTTCTACTTTCTGCTCTCCTGACTTTGCACCCGAAACTGCCATCACTTCCACCCAAGTTGCAAGATGTTGCAAGCTCGCACTTCAATACCACTAAAACCACTAGTCGCAATTTCTGGCAATATCCTATCCCATGACTACTCAAGTGAATGTCCCAAATGTCCCCAAATTTCCCTGGTAATGGTGATGGTGCCATCACATGCCTATTTCTTGCCATTCCCCGAGGCGCAAACTGCAGGTCGTCGCTCCCAGCAAGGCATGCAATACCTGGCACCGAGGCCTTGAAAATTTTTTCGCGATATGCGGGTGTGATTTAACGATAGAAGATGATAGTTGCAACTAACGTATGATAAACTACAATCGTTTCTCAAAAATTCCAGCTTGTATATCTACATGTTACATATATATATATATACACATAATTGTATACAGAAATGTAAATATGTACGTACACCTAATTCAATTTATCGTTGAAGAACCATGACTGAGCCCCAGAAAGGGAACCAGTCGGGGCAGCGGGGGACCATGACCCCCCCCATTCCTACCCAGTCCCGTAGCAGCGCACCAGTAATCCACGACTTGGTCTACATGTCCATCGTCCCGGAGCCTCAGCGCCGCATCATTTCTCTGAAACAGCTGAAACAGCTTTCAATGTGGCCAGAAAATGGGGATCAGGATGTCAGCCATAAAAAACACACCAAAAAACGCATCTTGATTGATAATTGAATGATAATTGAATGATTTTCAATGGGACACCTGATGATTAAGCCTGATTAAGCATTGGATCTTGAGGTATCTTTTCCCAGAAACCCCGTATCTGTGCGGGTTTCTGGAAGGGCCACCCTGCATCTTGCAGAGCGCACAGCGTCGCCTCCTGACAGCCCACACAGCTTTGCCCAAAATTAAAATTAAAGGCTTGACCATTTCACCCAGGGCTTCACTGCGTTGGAGATATATATGATATATATGTAGATCTGCAAATGCACATGTAAATGTAACTGTTCAATGTCTCTCTCTCTCTCTCGCCCTCTCCGAGAGTTCAGTCACAGACTGAAGGCGAGCCAACGGCCCAGCCCCCCAGAAACCTGTCAGCCAGCCTGTTTAATGTATACAGCATACTATTTTATAGTATGCAAAAACGTATGTGGCATTCCAAGTCCACCAAACTTGGTCTATCTTGGCTTTGCGGAGTTCTCAGTCTGCTGCGTGATTTCTTGAGGAAGCTGCATTCAGTTCAAGAATAACACTTCAATTCGAGATCCAGTGTTTCTGGTCGTTGAAGGCTAATCGTCTGGTAGCGCATCTGGCACATTATGGAAGCAATATCCTGCTCAAATATACAAGCCTCAACGGAAAAAGCCAAGCGTATCAGGCAAGAGATCAACCCCAATCCCAATCATTACAGATCAGTAAAAACAATTATCACACCTGGCAATCAACCTGTAATGGTAATTAAACCATATTACTGACCTATAAATGGATGGATCTTAATTTTAGTATGCTCTGGTAATCAAACCTGGCAATTGAAAATCCATCCGTTTATAGATGATCCTCCCATTAAAGCCTGCAGTTATCGGACCATTCTCGGGGATTTTCCATCGCCTGCCGCAGAAAGTGAGCCAGCAATCCTGCCATGGCAGTGCCATGGTCGTTGGGATATGGGTAGGGCTTCAGAAGATTTTTTTTTGTTGGCTCAGGTTGTGTTTTTTTTTTTAAGGCTTTCTTTCCTGGTACCATTTGCCTTGTATTTGCAAGGAACTAGAATCTGTCATTTTGCATGGTATTTGCTACGTTTTGGTATGGTTACTTTGCATTTTGCATGGTATTTGCTACATTTTGGCATGGTTACTTTGCATTTTGCATGGCATTTGCTACATTTGGCAATGTTCGCCTTCCATTTTGCATGGAATTTCCACCGTTTTGGCACTTCAACCTCTCATTTGCATGGTATTTGCTACATTTTGGTACTTCAAACGTTCATGTGTTTTTTTTGAGAGTTTCTTTAGGCTTTCATTTAGGGCTTCTTTAGGGTTTCATTAAGGGTTTCATTAGGATTTCATATAGCATTCCATTTAGGGTTTCATGTAGGGTTTCTTTAGGGTTTCATTTAGGCTTTCATTTAAGGTTTCTTTAAGTTTAGGGTTTCTTTAGAGTTTTATTTAGGGTTTCATTTAAGGGTTTCTTATCAGGATTTTCAAACGTTCATGTGGGTTTCTTTAGGGCTTCTTTAGGGTTTCATTTAGGGTTTCATTTAGGGTTTCTTTACGGTTTCATTTGGGGTTTCTGAAAGTTTTCATTTAGGGTTTCATTTAAGGGTTTCTTATCAGGATTTCTTATCAGGATTTCCAAACGTTCATGTGAGTTTCTTTGAGGCTTCTTTAGGGTTTCATTTAGGGTTTCATTTAGGGTTTCATGTAGGGTTTCATGTGGGGTTTCTTATTAGGATTTTCAATCGTTCATGTGGGTTTCTTTATGGTTTCATTTAGGGTTTCATTCAGTGTTTTTTAGAGTGTCGTTTGCTTCTTTAGGATGCCTTTTAGGGTTTCATTCGAAGTTTCTTTAGGGTTTCATTCATGGTTTCTTTTGGGTTAATTTATGGTTTCTTTAGGGTTCATTTAGGGTTTCGTGTAGGGGTTTCTTATCAGGAGTTCTTATCAGGATTTCTTTAGGGTTTCTTTGGGTTTCAACTAGGGTCGTTAGGGTTTCATTCAGGATACAAACAGGAGAGAATAAAGTGAATAAAGCAAAAGAAAAGAAAAAACAAAGAGGCAGTGAAGACAGGAAGCAGAGAAGCAGCGGAGCAGGAAGTAGAGCAGCAAAACACATGACTAAAGAAACAAAAAGTAGAACAGTAGAAGCAGAAAGGCACAGAAGCACAAAAGCAGAAAAGCAGAGAAGCAGGGAAAGCAGAGAAGCAGAAAAGAACATCAGCAGGTAAAGCAGAGAAGCAGGAAAGCAAAAAGTGGGAAAAGCAAAAAGCAGAAAAGCAGAGAAGTAGACAAGCAAAGAAGCAGGAAAAGCAGAAAAGCAGAGTAGACAAGCAGAGAAGCAGGAAAAGCAGAGAACCAGGAACCCCAAAAAAAATCCAAAACCTGCCGCGAAAAAAATCCAAAAATAAATAGTAGTATGGGTAGTATGATCTATCCCATGGAGGGGAATCCAAACATCATGGGCATATAGATTACATTAGGTTACTACTATGTTACTTGCATAATATGTGCTATAAAATGGATGGATGACCATCCCCCAGGATGCTTTTCTGATTTAACTTTTGCAGAATGGCAATGGACCCAAAAATTCACAATGGGAAGTTGAGCAACGAACATGGTTTGGTCAGATGGGGTTAAACGCAAGGCGCCAGGGGCTGTCATGATTAAGCTCAGCAAAAGAAAATCAACGGTTTAGTTTGCTGGGAAGATATGCATTAAATGCATGAAGGAGCATTTGCCCTCTGGTAATTTAACATAGCTATGGAAAATGGCCATATTTATAGTTGATTTACCCATTAAAAATGGTGGTTTTCCATAGTTATGTAACAGTTTATCAGAGGGTATGAGCATTTATATCAATTCTTTGAATCACACCATGGTTCCCGGCCTCGCAGTACCAGTACTGACTATCTGCATCCCGATGTCCATATTCCTTGCACCGGCAAGATCGCTGCAGCACCACTTCTTGAAGTCTTTTTTCCTCCCCCCGAATGACAAGTGTGACCCGGGGTGCTTCCCCCATGTCAACATGACATGTTTGCTGCGGCCCTGCGGGCTCGTTTTGGACCTCAGAAAATCAACGCTGCCCGCGTTCCCCCACCTTGGGCTGTCTGCATCTTGTGCAGCTTCCAGGCATCTCCTACATCCCTTTTCAAAAAACATCTCACCCGCGGACATGTCCGAACCATGGCTGAGCCGAAAATCCCATGATGGATGTCAGGACTTTAAATGCTGTCACTCCAACAAAGAACAACCAACGCACTGCTTTTTGAAAGGTCCCATATTTTGGCACTGGGAAGTAAGTATAAACATTATAAACCAATTTTTTGTGTACAGTCCCGTTGTTTTTTGCAGTAAGCCGTAGAACAAAGCTGTTTCGTTTGATCGCCACAACGGCCACGCAGCATCACTTTTTCATTGCCAGGAAGGCCAGGGCCAAGTCTTTGTGCCTGGCGCCCGCAAGCTGCAATGCTGGGTTATAAAGGGGTTGTTTTTTTTTGGTTGTTTATGGTAACACCAAAACATATTATAACACATGCGCACATACACATATGTAAAACACATCATGAAAAAAAAATAATATACATAATATATTATATCATATATATATATGCACATACGTCAATATATTCAGCACATTTCTATCTGTTTCGTGGGTCCTACAAGCATTTTGACCTGACGCTTTGCAGAAAACCCCGCCAAATAAATTCCGATTTTTGTGGTGTCTTGTTCCATCACATCAAGGGGTGTAAATGTTCCCGCCAAATCCGCCAATTCTAGGTGACTGGGGGGTTCCTGTGAACAAACTAATTGAAACTATATCCTTATATAGTGTATAAATACGTATGAATATAACTATGAATATACATATAATATAACATGGTATAATATTGTATAATAAAACATAATATAATATAATAAAACATGTTATAATATGGTATAATAAAATAAAATATAATATAATAAAACATGTTATAATATAGTATAATAAAACATAATATAATATAATATAATATAATAATATAATATAATATAATGGTTTTCACATGATTTCACCTTCTTCATCATCCAAAGACATGTTTTGCTCTTTTTTTCCACGATTTTGCAGGGCTTTTCCGCCAGGCATGCCTGGAATGCACTCAGCATCTGTCTTGCGATCACTGTGTTTCTCTCGACCTGACATGAGAGAAGGTCGTGACGTAGAACACAAAACAAAAGAATGCTGCCGTGATGTAGAAATATGTAGAATACAAGACAGGGGAACAGTGTTGAAAGATGTTGAAAGCGTTCTGACGTAGTATGTAGATGTAGGTAGAGTAAGAGAAGAAGGTTTCGAGGTAATGTGTTAACATTGCAAAACAAGAGAAGGATGTCGTGAAGTAGTATCGGAAAAGGATGGAAAAGGGAGATTGCCCCTCCACCCACCCACACAGGCCCACCAATACAGAAACTATAATATTATACTCGTATTATTTTCGGGGCGTGGGGGCCAAAGTTCGGGAAATAGACTGTACACACAAAAAGATCATGATGGAGAAAAAAATGGTTCCTGGATATATGCCCAACGAACTCCCCCGTTTTGATTCAAGTAATTTTCTCATCCATGTGTATCCATTATCTACCCTTTGGTCACACCGGTCTTTTCTTGTTTCACATGCTACGCCGCAACTTTCTTGTCTTATTGCACATCTCACGTCCAACTTTCTTCTCTTGTTTTACCTAGCAGCAAGTTGAGATTCACACGGGAACAATTGCTGTTGGAGTGGTTGCTAATCGTCTTTGCCAAAGGAATTGGGCAGCAAATCTCCATCAAGTACAGTACATGTGAGCATTCCAATGGCGCTACATTCAGCGAAACTGGAACATTCGGAAACGAGCAAAAAATATGCACCATACTGCAGCAAAAAGGGGAAACCACTTGCAATGGAATTACGAAGCGAACGAGCAAAGCCGCGCCTGGCTGCGCTCTGTGGGATGGTGGACGAATAGGAAAGCAAAAAAGACAGAAACTGAATGACACTGACATGCAAAAAAAATTGTTATCACAAAGAAACACCATGAGAAGCAAGTGAAACGCATCTTTCGCAGAAAGCAGCCAGAATATGCCAGAATGAGGACATATGGAACTCACGTTCTCAAAAGACATGCGCGAGAAAAAACATAGAACAACAATGAAACACATGTCCGCCATCAAGATTCAGGTGTGAAACAAGATGAACTCGTGCATGCAAATTCTAAGGTGACCGGTTGTTTCTGTGAGGGAAAACCTGCGAAGAACCACGTTTTTGGTGCTAGGTGCCCCAACTGGCAGCACGTCTCCGAGGGACTGGGTAATATGACACCGGCATCTCAACCTGTCTGGATCTGGCTTGAATGTGTATCAAGATCAAGCAGAACATCGATCATACATGGATCATACCTATTAAATCCTATTAAAACTGGCTTGCATCAGAATTTTGCACCATCTTCGCTGCAAGGTATATCATGGCATATCAGCTTCAAGTCAGGTTGTTGGAATCATTGAATTGCCAAAATTGGTACAATCCTTGATCCTCCTGGTGGCTCTCCCATCATCTCCCTCTCTGATATTTGTGAGAAAAACAATGAGGTCAAATCGTGTCAAAGCCTATCACTGGATTGGTTTCAGGGAAAATCTACCAGAAAAATCCGTGGCTTTTCCCATGAAACATGGGGGTTTCCTTAAACCAATCATGTCAAATCCTTAGTTCTGCAGGTTTCATCCTTGGATAGCTGTCCACTTCACCGGGCACCTGCGACACACATGGTGCCGGGGCACTGACCTGCGGCAGCAGGAAGATTCATGAGAAAGATCTGGTGGAAAGGGGTACCCTGGCACAAGAATTTTGAGAAGCACTCAAATTCTTAGATTTCTTAGCGCATGATGCCGTGATGAAATCTGATGAGCCAAGATGATGCGCTTTTTTTCCTGGCCATTTTTCAGCTCATGGAGACGCCACCATCCAGCATGGTGCGTCAAAGGTGGACGCGTTCAACCTTGGAATAACAATGGGAACACCAAGAGCACTGCAATGAAGGCCAAACAGCAAAGAAGACCCGATGGAAACGGAGTTCGGTCCTGAGCTGCAACAGGTGCCCAAGTGGGCTCGATTCATACCAAAGTTGATGAATGGTGGCTGACTTTTAGAGGAGGACCCTGAAAACATGATGATTTCCACTTGAGATGGATTAACCAAGCATGTATGAGACCTGAAAACACCACCGAATCCAAAAAGAATCCTGGGATATTGCTGGCAACTTGCGTCCGATCTATGGCCATGAAGCCAACACTCAATGAGTCAAGTGTCCGATCGAATTTCAAGCAGCAATTTCTCATCCTCCACCTGTGCAACACCAGCCAGAAGCCGATGTTGTTCGTTCAAGTACTGGACCTAAGAAAGTTGCAGCCACAGCATGGCTGAAGATGGCTGAAGGGTGCCAACATGTGCCAACATTTCCGTAGGTCAAAGGCTGGCCGGGGCAATGGGTGCCTATGGGTGCCTATCCCAACTTGCCATGCTACGGGTTGCATTTCAAAAGGGGGATTGTCATCATGCCAGATCCCTTTTGCAGGGGATCTGTGTGCTGGACTTTCTCTAGAAAAGTTGTATATGATATCACGTGATACTGGTTGGTGGTTTCAACCCCTCTGCAAAATATTAGTCAGATTGGATCATCATCCCAACTAATTATTGGGGAAAATACAAGTCATGTTCCAAACCACCAACCAGGATATGAGTATTGATGCATGGCTTTGTGTTTGAAGCATTCTTGGCCGCTTGTTGTAGGGGTCAACCCCTGAAGCCAAGCCACACCACGATCAGGACGATTGCGCACAATGCTGGCGCCCCAGTAACCTAGAAGGCAAACACCAGATCCAGATACCCCAAACAGCATCAAACAGCCAAGTCACCAGATTTGCTATGCTTTGTGATGCTTTTTCTACAGAACTTTTCGATGCTTTGGTTTTTTTACCGCCTCAGCGAGAGGACACCCCCGTATAACATCCCATCCCCGGTTCCATAGCCGAGGTGAACATCCAGTCCAGGCCACTAAAGGCAGAGTGAGAACACCTCGAGGAGGGACGCACCTTCTTTGCTTCAGCATTGCATCGTTGAAGGCACTGCTCCTCGAGGTTTCGAACCTTGGTTCGATCCTAGTGGCTGCATGTATTGGAAGGATCCCAACATCATCCAACATCTATAGGAAACCTTAAGAAACCATGCTTTTGGCAGCCATTCTTACCGGGATCTTCTGCAAAACCGCACGCATCCAGTAAACTCAACGTCGCTCAATTTAGTTTTGGCGTGCAAGGAGGAAAACCTGGTGGTATTTTCCCACCTAGAAAGCTAGTGCAATCCATGATATCATAGGAATATATAGGAATATCAACCAAGGAAACTAGAAAGGACACTAGAGAAACATGAGCTATTCATACTCAAGAAAAAGCACACTGGTTGGTGCTGATACGGGGATGCTGATACGCCCTGCTAGGCCCCTAACTTGCAACCCAAAGCACGGAGACAGTACAGTCCAAGTGCCGGTGATCCAGAGGCGTTCCACACTCGATGAGCCAACGTCTGATACGCAAAAAACACAGGGATGAAGGTAAGTCGATATGTGGTCCTTGCAAGCCATAGGCCATCAGTGCTCCTTGATGACATCCCAAGGTGACCTCTTCCTCCACCATGCAGTGCGTTGGATAGCGGCACAGCACCGGTGCATGGCACAGGATTGCCGGCAGCGGTTCATAAGGGTAGAGCGCCAAGACGCGGCTCAGACATAGGCAGTTGGAGAGGTCTTTGGAGGCAAAGGTGTTGGTCAGACCCAGCAGATCCAGCTGTGCTACCGTAAGCAGGTCGCCCGGGACAGGATCAAACAGCAAAAGAGACAACTCACAACCTCAGTTTCTGAGGGGCTTTCTGAGCGCCAAGTTGTTTAATGTTGTTCAATACCCAGAAGTTGAGTTGGTTGTAACCTGATTTTTTTATAATTCAATTGAAGCAAGAACTGCACAAACAAACCTTGGACCTTGGTATTTAGGGCCAACATCACCACATGAACAAAACATGAACAAACCAACTGTTTCATCGGGGATCCGGTAGCCAGGTTCCGCCAAATCCAAACCCAAACAAACCCAGTACCGAATAATTAGTGCCTTTCCAATTGCTTTGCACACATATAACTGGAACAGGATTGCTTTGGGACTTTAGCACATGCTCATAAAGTTGCAGAACCTTTTTTGTTTTAGCCGTATATCATATATTACTAAAAGTGTCTCTTTTCCCTTGAAACAATTTTGGGAAATCGATGTTTGTCAAACCTGGGGTTCAAAAAAACACCCCACGCAGCAGCCAACTAGTCGTCCAGGACAAAAAAACATCGTCACCCAGCAACGGGAAGCAGGAATGTCTGACATGACCTGTGCGAGATATGAACATGCGATTCCACCACGTGAAAGGCCCACAGCATTCACTTTGAGCTTCTGAGTCTGGCCCTGCAGCTCGGCAAGGAGATTGTCAACCTGGTCATGGGAACTCTCGAGAAATGAAATGGAGAAACAAAACACGCATAGAAGTTATATGTATATATACATATATATATATGTCATATCATATTATATTACAATTTCTTCATAGAAAACTAGCATTTCAATATGAAAAACACTCAACTACCAAAAAATTAAGTATCCATATGAGTACCTTACTTTCGTCTCAATTTGTCACAGCAGCACGATTTTACCATTCAAAACCACCTTTGGCCGCGCCTGTCTTCGCACCAGGCCGCATTGATGGCGAAGTCCTTTCGCACAAAGCGTGCCACAAAGGCCATCCGTGACTCCGCAGCCATCGAAGGCCATCTTCCTGCGTTTCAGAAACCAAGGGCTGTGACTCTTCTGTATTTCAACAAGATGTGCACACGTGTATGCATGAATATACATATATATACATATATAAATATACATATATATATATACATATATATATATATGTATACATACATAGTTTGCACACGCACAGAAAATCAACATATGAGATGGCATTACCAGATTTTATCGCATTTAGATCCATATGTCAATGTAATAGTATATATATATATATCATTTTATAATATTTTATATCTACATCAATGGTCACTTCAACCACCGCCCATGCCCAAATGGCAGCTGACGACGCCTGGGTTGACCCAAAGCTACTCCGCCCAAGTGTCCACCAGTGACATCAAAGGCATCTGCGGCGGCTTTCAATGGGAAAATGCGGGTTTCAGATCATCAGAAATCACGATAAATCACGCATCCCTGAGATAAAAACTGTAGATTTTCGTGATTCGGATTGACGAACGGCATTGTAAAATATGTTTGGTATTCGAGAATTCGCCATTGAGGCACAGCATTTTTGCCTGAAATCCTCAAATCCCAAAACACATAAAAACAATGCCTGTCAATGTGAAGAAGAGCCCTATCTGCGTGGTCAAGGGCTTGATTGTGTTGGCAGTACCTTCAAAGAAGACCTCACAGGGACGACTCGCGGGAAACTTGCTTTCCAAAGTGGTTGTACCACATGGCCAACTCCAGCCAAGCTCATAGGAAAGGAATCGTCCCCATCCAAACCCTACTAAAAAATGGGACTGACTTGACTTTTGTTTTTGGCTAAAACGGGGCAATCAGTGCAATTTAGGTCAATCCACCTTTTCGAGGGAATGATATGGAATGATTTGACCAGAATTGCATGGTTTAATTCACATACAACATCACTGGTTGGTGGTTTCAACCCCTCTGAAAAAAAATTAGTCAGTTGGGATGATTCTTCCCAATATCTGGGGGAAAAAAACATGTTCCAAACCACCAACCAGATCAGATTTTGCGGGTGTCCGAGCCATCTTTGAAAACAGCTGAGATTCAGTGAGGTGCGCGTTCCCATCGTTCCTCATCTGCAGAAACGGCTCCCGGTCAGTGGCCATGGCTACTGGCAGCTGCCACTTGTGGTCTGCTGGCTGTGCTTTTCCATTGCGACATGGCGTTTGGGGGATGCTAGGGCTGCTAGGGGATTCCTAGGGTATGACCCTACGGCCCTGAGGTTTCCCGCTCCCGCATGGATGGCATCAAGCACATAGGCTGCGGGAAGAAAATCATCCCTGGAAAAGTCGCAACGGGTGACCCTTTGATATTATCTGTGGCAACCCCCCTGAAAAATGACAACTTCAGGCAACTAAGCTGGAGGTACCTAGCCAAGGTAATATATGGTAAAATGTATATAATTTTACATATCCGGCATTGTAGCATAATTATTGCAAGTAACCGAATGGTAGCTATATTTTTTGCAGCCATACAGAGCATATTCCAAAATGATCCGTACGGTATCAACTGCACCTTGCCTGTGGGCTTCCAATATGGCCACTCCAGCCTTTGCCAACCTTCCAAGATTCAACTTAATGAAAAATCCACTGTCCAACGGCCCTGCAATTGGACCTGACGCTATTTTTTTGCACCCCACATATTGATGCTAATTACATGCTGGTACTAGACCTTTGAAACTGAAGAACATCTGTGGGTCTGTGGGCCCTTCGACCAGCAAGAAATTGTGGCATTTCGATCCATAGCGAGTTTGGGGTGACAACATGGCTGAGTTTGGGAAGATGTGCGCACCTCAATGCTCGCAGGGCACCTTGCGAAATCAGGAAAGTCATGTCCCTAGCCACTGACTCGCTTCGTTTGGTGCGGGGAAGCCATGATTCACAAGCAGGTCATTTTGGTCATTCTAATCATTTCATGGGTGAGAACTTAGACCTGCAAACAGGCTCAACGTGGCTCAACTTTTCCCAATCGTCCCTTCAATTTGCCCTGCTGACCGTTGCGACCGTTGCGACCGTTGCCCTTGGGCTTTCCGGACGTCGAAGCGATCGGTCTGATTGGAGCTTCAGACCTACATCCGAGATGCGCGGGGAGAACTGGCATTCTTTTGCACTTCAGAATTGGTGTTTTCTGGGAATTCCGGAAATAGCACAACAAGAACAACAATAACCATATAAGAGATTATAAGAGATTATAAGATAAGAGATTATAAGAATATCTGGTTGGTGGTGCAACGTGCCCATCTTGAAAAATATGACAGTCAATGGGAAGGATGACATTCCATATATTATGGAAAATAAAAGTCATGTTTGAAACCACCAACCATATTACCAGTTATAGATGGTCCATGTATAGATGATTTACCTATAGAACAAATATTAAAATCATAAATCATCATCACCAACCAGATGTGTTTTCCCATATTTTCCTATGTTTTTCCCATGGTTTTCCTACGATTTCCCATTGGATATAGTCATCATCACCAACCAACCAGGTATAGTCATCATCACCAAAGTCTAACAGGGGGCATCACTGCACTGAGGACATCTGAGGACAAAGGGCTTCTTGCGCCAAACTGCTGTCGATCCTCGGGATTTCTCCCAGCATTCCTGGCGAAGCCCAGTGACTCCCAGTGTCAGTAGAAGAAAATGGCCGACATTGGCCGACCAAAAATCCTGGCACCCGGGTTACCCGGGTTTTCACAGTTTTCACACCAAAGTAGCGGGGAAATGGGGATGTTCATCCCCTCGTTCATCCCCTCGTTCCTACAGGTCTTGGCAAAGCTAAAGCCCCTCGGAATCATCCGCTTCACTCCCAGTCAGCTGATCAGCACTGCCAGTGACTCAATAACCGCCCCACCTTGTAGACATCACCTTCAAAGGTTCGTCCTGGCGCAGTTGCTTTCCCCATCTTTCCCCCACTAGGTTTTTGCCAGGGTTATTCTCATGTGCCAATTATATGGGAAAACACACGCAGCTAGTTGACAGGTCTCCCTAAAATGGGTTACAATAACACCTAACAATTGATAACAGGGTAGTATAACTCCTTACAACGACCAATCAATACGGGTCTTTTTTGAGAGCTGGCCGCTGTGGGAGTGCACCTTGTCGTCATTTATCCTCAAATGTGCAATCAATCTTTTTTTAGTTCAACTACAAATGAAGATGACTTCATGTCCACTAGACAAAATGTGTTCTTTGAACACCCAGTCTTCTTGACTCTTGACAATGTGACCAATCTACCTTTATATAATGTTGTCATGCGCCCTTGAACAAAACAAGAATCCTGCAGAATATATGCCATAATTCTTCATATAATATAATTGCAACATGTCTGCTTTGAAATGCCATATTTTAGAAGTGTCACATGTCATTCTTAATGCACAAGCTGTTGTTTCCTTTCAAGGCAATGCAGGGTGTCTTTGAAGACGCAGTGACCCTACACAATATGAAGTATCCCAACAAATACAAAAGATGCACGAAAAAGTGTAATATGCATTTCCAAGTGTCCAGCCTTCCTGAACTGGCACACTATCCAGTATGGAAAAACACAACATTCCTGCACAATATGCAGTGTCTTTGACATACAGCATCTCTGTCAAAACGTTTTTGTTTTTCTTGAATGAAATAGTTTTTCTTCCAAACCTGTTTATAGTTGCAACCTTCCTTTAATGCAGAATAATATTATATTTCTGAGCATTCCTGGACACACACACATAATATATATATATATGCATATCAGTTTTTTCTTTTAAATACTTTCGCTTACACAGCACATTACATCTTTTTCTGAAAGAAATGCCTTCAATATTATACAACAACAGTACAAATGTGTTATTCGCATTATAGGGGAAATGTTAAAAACTATTATGTCATACGTTTTTAATATATACTTTATTCCTTAAAAAAAGTGCTGCATGCATCAAGGATTCTATCATGTAATGTTCCATTGTCTTATGAAACAATACTACTAAGAGAAGAGGTAGACATGTCTTTTTTTGCATCCACTTGATATGAATGACACCATCTCTTCATAATCAATACTGTGTGGGGTTCATTGTCTTCAATTCTATTTGGTTAGTAGACATGCAACACATTGCCAAATAGCATGGGGATCAACACAAAAAACAAAACAACTGCTAGGACCCAATTCTCTGCAGCATCTGACCTGAACCATTTGCCACCTCACCTCTGCCGCAATTAACTTCATCCGGGCACACAAAAAAAAACAAACAAGAACTAAACATACATATAAATAAATACAAACAAACAAAACAAACAAAACAGACAAAACAAACAAACAAAAACAAAATTACAGGACCAAAGGTCTCTGTATCTTCCTCCCCCCTTGGGGTTTGCGATCTTGTTGTTTGCTGTTTTTTTCCTTTTTTTTCCGGTTTTGGTGGGATTGGATAGGGCCTAAGAGGCTCTTGACGCGGAGCTGTGAACGTAGAGACATTGCAATTTCTAACTCTCAGTCATGTGGGTAAAACAATACACCCAGTCATCATCTAATGATATCTAATGTGGGTAGTTTACAATGCCATAGTCATCATCCCCCAGTCATCACCGTTATAGGTGGTATGTAGAAACCGTTCCCATGGTTGGTAAACATGCCACCACTGACCTCGGGAGCGTCGTGAAGGCGGTGGCTCGCTGCGACCTGGGGCGTTGCCAAGAAAAATCGCGAGTTTATTCATTTAGAATAAATAAAACTATATCCATCTATCCATCTATCCGTCTATCCATCTATCCATCTATCCATCTATCCATCTATCCATCTATCCATCTATCCATCTATCCATCTATCCATCTATCCATCTATATCCGTCTATCCATCTATCCATCTATCCTATCCGTCTATCCGTCTATCCATCTATCCATCTATCCATCTATCCATCTATCCATCTATCCCTCTATCCCTCTATCCGTCTATCCGTCTATCCGTCTATCCGTCTATCCATCTATCCGTCTATCCGTCTATCCGTCTATCCGTCTATCCGTCTATCCGTCTATCCGTCTATCCGTCTATCCGTCTATCCGTCTATCCGTCTATCCGTCTATCCGTCTATCCGTCTATCCGTCTATCCGTCTATCCGTCTATCCGTCTATCCGTCTATCCATCTATCCATCTATCCATCTATCCATCTATCCATCTATCCATCTATCCATCTATCCATCTATCCATCTATCCATCTACCCATCTATCCATCTATCCATCTACCCATCTATCCATCTATCCATCTATCCATCTATCCATCTACCCATCTACCCATCTATCCATCTATCCATCTATCCATCTATCCATCTATCCATCCATCCATCCATCGATCCATCGATCCATCGATCCATCGATCCATCTATCCATCTATCCATCTAGCCATTTAGCCATTTAGCCATCTAGCCATCTAGTCATCTAGCCATCTAGCCATCTAGCCATCTAGCCATCTAGCCATCTAGCCATCTAGCCATCTATCCATCTATCCATCTATCCATCTATCCATCTATCCATCCATTTATCTATCCATCTATCTATCCATCCATCTATCCATCTATACACTACGCAATGTCTATATGTATGTATATACATATATATATATGTATATATATATATGGTTGTTGATCAAAATTCCTTTATCCCGGAACGGCCATTCTTCGCGAATAAAAATTTTACTTTCGCGAAACTTTCGCGAACTCCATGTTTATCTTTCGCGGGGCCCATGTTGGCCAACAACACCTCTTATGAAGATTCGTTCACCACCTGCCAAATTACGCCAGAGAATCACGGATCACTTCTTGGTAGCCTTTTAAACATGCAGCTAGCATCACGGAATCCCTTCTCAGGACAGTTTTTTTTTGCAAAGTTTACTGGCCCACCCCCTTCAACATGCACTTTGACTTTCGCCCGCTCTTTCGCAGAACTTTCGCGGAACTTTCGCGAAAATATCCCTATTCACAGACCCCGGCCATCAGCAGGGGGTGCACTGAAGGAAAAGCGAAGACCAGGGGCCTTGGTGTTTGGCTCTCGCAAAGCCTCACTTTTGGAAACTTGGCTACTGCTACTCGCATTCTCTGGTGCCCTTCTCCTGCTGGAGCCCGGGCGGCAGCGGGTGGCAGCCCTTTACATATAATGATAATAATACCTAACTTTCGCGAAACTTTCGCGAAATAAAATTTTACTTTCGCGAACTCGAAAAAAAACTTTCGCGAGGGTTTCCAACATAACATGCACGGCTTTCGCAATTAAAACTCCTTACCAGGACCTTTAGATCGATCACCATATATATATATATATATGCACATACACATTTTTGCCTATATATATCTCTTTGACCAATGTTTACATATTTTGTAGATTGTAGATGGTTCTCCCACATAGTTAACAAACTTCCTGCCATATTTGAAGTACCAAAGGGATCCAAGTATATATACTGACTCAAAAAGGATATAACTGTGATTATGTGTGGCAAACCCAATGGAAACCATAAATATCATATTGTACGCCAGACTCGTGTTGACCCTTCGCAATTTACACGCCTGAGAAAACGTTGGAGTTCCTTGACCCATCCTCCCCACCTCGAACGCTGCGAACGCTGGTCGGACAAGCATCAGCAACTCCCTTGATACGCAACATGCAACGGGCCAGATGTGTATAGCCATGCCAGCCGAAGTTGATGCAAGTTGCAATATCTTGGGACATCATTTCTGGCTCTTCACATCCGTTGGCTCAACAATGCTGATCATGCTTGCGCACCTGATTCCTGTGGTCAGATTTCCACTTCCATCCTCACAAGCAAGTTGAGGACTTGGACTGATTTGTACTGATTTGGATTGATTTAGATCTGATTAAGCTATAACAATACGACACAAAGGCAACATCTCAGCAACAGCCTCTTGATGGCATGTCTTTTTTTGCAGTTTCGACTCGTTCCACAATTCTAATGTCACAGGCATCGGCCACTGGAGATATGCCTAAAATGATCTCTCTCTCTCTCTCTGTATGTATTTATATGTGTTGTATTACTTATGCATTTGTCCAGACAATCCCATAGCACCACCCCAAGACATACCACCCAAGATAAAAGATGGCAGTAATTTGGCCACTTGGATCCACGCCTTCGGGCTCATCCTCACCTCATAGCGACGCTATTTTCTCTCCCATCGACTCGTCCCCATCCACAACATCTTCCCCGTTTTGGTTCCCTATTTTCTCCCCAAGCCTTTCATTGCGAAAAACATAATCAATCGGTTTCCCTCTTAATTTTCTCCTACTTTCTTACATCCAAAATGCTAAAATCGGATGTTTCAACTATTTAACTATACAGACTAATTATACACATTGAAAACGACCGACATGTGCTGAAGGCTCCAGGGTGTTAGGTTTCCCCATTTTCCCCCGGCACATATCCACATACATCCATGAGGGTTTTGGGACTACCTAAACATGATCGGGTGAGTCATGATACCGGAAGCTGGAACCACCATCCCCACGTGCTGAGGAACCCAGCGATTCTTGGGAACCCAGCGAGCCTTAGCTGCCATTTTGGTGCTAGCAGATGCTGGCGGTGTTGCCATGGAACTTTCCAAAGGCCCCAGTCATGAGCCAATTGATCTTGCCGAATTGATTTCCATTTATGAGAGAGTCTGCTTTCAACGATTGGAGGCCAGTCCTAAAACACCCGGCCTTTGGCCTATCCGGGCTCAGCACGGCACTTGTCTGCCACCTGTCCACCATTGTAGCCGATCATCTGCATCCCAGCTTGACCATGCCTGCTCAGGAAGGAAGTCCCCCCAAAATGATCAACTGCGTTGCCCAGGCAATCTACCGCAAAAAACTGTCACCAACAACTGTCATCATTGGTCTCCACACGAAAAGGCAAATCCCGTTGGATTTACGAATTTGGCAGCCACCTAATTAGCAACCTCGCCAAGATGGCTGTGTGCCCCACACATCGTAAGTCCTCGCATATGACACGTAAAGCAACGGGTTAAAACTAAAATCCTGGCTTTGCGGCTCCAATGTCATATAGAACCGTAACCTGCTCTCGATTCCCAATGACCAAACCTTTGGCTTTGAGATGCTACGGCGATGCCTCTCCTGTTCTCCCCTTTCTGTCACTTGCATGTCTGTTCCAACAATGCTTTAGCATGGTATGGATAGAAATCATTGCATGGACACCGGTCTGGCAAACTGGTTGATTCCTTTACTTTAAATAGAAGAAACAACAGAAAAAGGAGCGGACCTGAAACACGGACCCCATATCCAGAAGTTGACATGGATGCCCTAGCTCTTGCGCTGGAAGTGTCTATATACCTCTGAAAATTGTTTCTTAATATTTCCCAGAAAAACGCCACCTTTGGAAGCCATCAATATTTAGCCCACCAAAATGGGGAAGTGGAAACGAATAAGACAATCATTCACATGTATAAAACAACGAAACATCCACCATTAGTCCACTTTTTGTGGGAATTCATCCAATAATCCACATGTTCATTGGTTCAGTCGCCTCCCAAGATTGGGTCAACGTGTCTCGTGGCTGCTGGCTATGGCGGCGCCGGCGTGTTCTCGGGGCGGCCTCAGGTTTACAACTATGATGTTGGTATATACAGCAATAGTAAACCATCCCCAAATTTACCATACATGAGCGTATCATAAAGCATCAACATACCCAGTATGGGTGATTTATGACATGATCTCACTAATTAACATGAATAGCAAGGAATGGAAAACTACTTCAAGCCAGCTACAGTATATAGACATATATAGATTCATATGGATCAATCCAGCTATAGACTCACATGATCTCATATGAATTAATGTTTAATGTAACTAATCCCTTCCCAATATCAGATATCAAACACCCCCAGAAGCCATGGTGGAGATAGGGGATGAAACAATGGGATTGGGATCATAATTACTATATATAAACAGCTATAAGTCACAACTGGTATGTTTGGGTGTACCCAAAACATCCCAAACCGCTGGTCAATCTTCTCATCCCATGTTTTTTTCTTTATGGGGACTGTTAAAGAACACATCAACAATCAACATCCAGCAAGGCCCAACCAAGCTGAAACAACTTCCCCTTCAGGCATCTGCAGCTCGCTTTGTCGCAGTTTCCGTCCCCTTTCTGCGCTTCATCGCCTGAACTTGAGTTCAGCTGACACGCGCATATATCCTGATATGTTTTTGATACAAATGCTGAATAACATAAGTTTTGACATATATCCTGAGATATATTCACATTCTCCCGATATATCCCGATATAAATTCTGACTTATAGCCTGCCATCAATTCCAAAATCCGAAATTGATTTTGACACACATTAACCCATCTATCCTAACATCAATAGTGGCAGTTACTATGACGTGATCCTACTTTGACATGACTGCTAACATGCTGTCTGGCATCGCAAAAAAAGACGAGGCCAGGCACAGAATCTGCAAGCTTGCTATCAGAGGACGAAGACCAGTATAGCTTACACAAATCAACAGGGCCTCACCTGACAGGTGGGACCTGACGGGGATTTCGCTGCTATCGCTGCAAGAAGTGGTGAAGCAAATTTAACATAATTTCGCAAATGATTTTCTTCCGACGAAGACAATTTGACAAATCGAGAACCTTTCGCGGATTGCATCCACGTCCCACACATCTAAGGCCCTCGAAGACCAAGTGTATCTGGAAACAGGATGCACCAACACGCATCAAATCCCAAAGATGGCTAAAGGGATGGTATCAAAAGCCAACCCAACGAAGTCCAGTTCAATCTCAAATTTCCGCATATGTCCCATTGTCCCAACATGGTTAAAGATGTTAAAAGCACATCTTGATAATTTTGAATTTTAACAATCCCATCGAAAATTTGCCAAAAAATGGCGATAAATCATCAAATGGTGGAATATCCATTATCCCTAGAATTTGGAAGTTCATGTTTCTTTGTGCGCCCAGCCGTTTTTCCTCGTTTACCCCCCAACGAAACAAACATGGAACCGGAACCGCCGGAACCACCGGAACCTTGCCTGGTGTCCTGGTGTAATATCTGAGTTCTAGTCCCCAAATCCCCAAACCAATGCTCATCAAATTACAAAGAAAACGATAAGCACCCAAACTGGTGATAGATCCTCCATCCCCCATTGCATAACCCTATAATCAATTTGAGGATGGGCTAATACCCCTGAATATATTGAATATCATATAGGCATTAATAACAGCCCCCTATTTTCCCTTCAAAGCCTGGCTCATCAAATCACCCCAAAGTGGTGATACATCGGTCCGAACTGCTCCCTCCACCACTGGAGCAAGTGCATCTCCACCCCCCCAAAAATGGTGAGAAATCATGATAATATCCATATAATTCATTGTATATAATTATTATATTTCATAGCATGTAAATCATGATCAACCATGATCAATCAGTATAAACCAGTATAAACCATTATAAACCCATTATAAACCCATTATAAACCCATGATAAACCATTATAAACCCATTATAAACCCATTATAAACCCATTATAAACCCATTATAAACCCATTATAAACCCAGTATAAACCCATAAAAATCCATGAACAAAAAACCGAGAGAAAGTGGACACTCCTCGAAACGCCAGCGAAACGCGCCTTGCGGCTCCGCCAGCTCCGCCAGCTTCGTTGGATCCTTTCGGCCGCTTCCAGCTCCAGACGCCGCAGCGCACGCAGCCAGGGCCAGGGCCAGGTCTGGCATGGTCCACGTTGGGAAATCAATGGGAAATCAATGGGAAATCTACACTGGTTGCTGGTTTTAACATGTTTTAACCATCTTGAAAAATATGAAAGTCAGTTGGGAGATTATTCCCATATATTACGGAAAATAAAAAATGTGTGAAACCACCAGCCAGTACAGGAAAACAGTGGACACATGGGTTTACAGACTGGGTTTATGATGGTTGGATTCGGCTTTGAACTTTGGATTTTCACGAGCTTTTCTTGGATGAAACCAGGCGATATCCAAGGGTTTTCTCCAACTGTTCCTTTCAACCATTTATGGAGGTGTCTGATATTTCTGGGGAATTTAGCCCTTGTAAAAATATTTAAAATGGCCCTTGATTGATCCACACACGCATATCAAGAAACAAATGCTTTGACCGTGCTCCCAACCTCATTGGGGATGAACTCAGGTGCTGCTGGATTCATGTCCCATCGGCATGGTCGAGCAGTGGTCAGTTAGTTGACCACTGTGGATCTTTGATAAACATCCCTCCACCATCCACCGACAGAACCAATTCCAATTCAGCAGCTCCTCAGTTGGCACTGGCGACAGTTGGACACACCCAATGTCTGTCTTGCGTGTCTTGCAGTTGACACTATGATATGCTTAGAAAAAGAGCACTGGCTATGGCGGGGAAATGCCCCAAAATCACCGGGTTGTGCGTGAAAACCCACTCATCCTTGACAAAATCTCATGGCACATCCAACAGGAGTCTCAACAACAACCTTCAGAAACTCTGAAGCTGAATATCGGCAAATCAACCCAAACATACCGAAGCCGAGTGGTATCATGCAGCTATGAGAGCCGACAGGAGGCTGCCATGCATTGAAATAGCTTGTGGGATCGAAACAGACAAGCAACTACAAGCAAACACACCTACAATCAGAGCTGCAATGAGCTGCACTGATCAGATTCGCGTGATCATCCATTGGAGATAGCCATCTTTGGGTTCCACGTAAAAAAATCAGGGGGTGAAAGAGACATTCTTAGGTGACCGACCAGTTTCGACTCCGTATATGACCCACCCGAGTCGCAACTCCTTTTCCCACTTGCCACCGACATGCTGTCAGACCGGACAGTCTTGACAATACAAATCACGTTTTAGAGGGTTCTTTCCGCATTCAACCACCGAAGTTGGCGTCTGATCCTTTGAAAATGGGGAAATGCCAACTGGACCACATTGGAATTCCTGGCAAAGCGCCTCAGGTGCTATGCGCCTGACTCATGGGGTTCACTGTAGTGGTCCTCTCGAAAATTGTCACCTTTCAGCGGCGATTATTGATGCTGGTATGGCAATGCTGCATGTTCCAGGTGTATGGAAGGCCTTCCAAAACCCCATCAAGCATGGATGATAAATAGTATTAAATAGTTACAGGTCAAACATGGTCAAACCACTGCTAACAAGTGTGATGAACATCAAACTAGCTGTGAAGTGGATGATCATCCACCCAAATATGGCATCACAGACTTCGACCCCTTTCCAGATCAGCATGTGACCTGAGTTCCTGCAATGAGGATCGTGGTGGATTGTAGCATTAGGTCCAGCTTAGCCTGCTCCATTAGTCATTAGACTAGGTTATGGGTATAACCAAACACGTAGAGAGGCAACAAATCCAGTTTGTCAATTGTTCTGGGCCACGTATCAGCTCAAACAAATTGAAACCAGTTGGCGTACTGCAAAAAGGCGAAAGTCCCCGTGTGTGTGTGTGTCATAATTGATATAATTATTAGTATAACCCAGAAATTGGACACCTGTAAGATCCTTAGGTTGCATGCAGTCTTTGAGCAGTGATAGCGCCGCCAAACCGACGCACGACTGGCAGCACGAAGCTGCACCCAGCATGAAACTGGTTTGCAAGCTGCTCCCGGCATGAAGCTGGTTTGGTAAGGTGGCAGCAAAAAATTGCATCACCACGAAACTGTTTGTGTAAGGTGGCAGCACGTGGCTGCATCAGCCGAAACTGATTTTGTTGAGGAGGTATTTGTGCACAGGTTACTTCTCGCACGGCGGCTGCCGCACCCCCCCCCCTTCAGGGACTGTGTAAGATCCTTAGGTTGAGGATTCTCATGAAACTAGACGACGGATGGCCCGAGAGCGTAGAGGAGCAGAGTCTTCTGTTGTTAGCATGGAGAAACGCTTTTTACACACAGGCTCTTTTACACACAGACGCTTTTACACACAGACGCTTTTACACACAGACGCTTTTTACACGCAGGCGCTTTTACACACAGACGCTTTTACACACAGACGCTTTTACACACAGACCCTTTTACACACAGACGCCTTTACACACAGACACTTTTACACACAGACGCTTTTTACACACAGACACTTTTTACACACAGACGCTTTGACACACAAACACATTTACACACAGGGGCTTTTACACACAGACGCTTTTTACACACAGACCCTTTTACACACAGACGCTTTTACACACAGACGCTTTTACACACAGACGCTTTTACACACAGACGCTTTTACACACAGACGCTTTTACACACAGACGCTTTTACACACAGACGCTTTTACACGCAGAAGCTTTTACACACAAACACTTTTACACACAGACGCTTTACACACAGACGCTTTTGCACACAGACGCTTTTACATTCAGACGCTTTTACACACAGACGCTTTTACACACAGACCCTTTTACACACAGACGCTTTTACACACAGACTCCTTTACACACAGACGCTTTTACACACAGACACTTTTACACACAGACTCCTTTACACACAGACGCTTTTACGCACAGACACTTTTACACACAGACCATTTTACACACAGACACTTTTACACACAGAAGCTTTTAAACACAGAAGCTTTTACACACAGAAGCTTTTACACACAGACGCTTTTGCACACAGACGCTTTTACACACAGACGCTTTTACACACAGACTCCTTTACACACAGACGCTTTTACACACAGACGCTTTTACACACAGACGCTTTTACACACAGAGACTTTTACACACAGTTGCTTTTACACACAGACGCTTTTACACACAGATGCTTTTACACACAGAGGCTTTTACACACAGAAGCTTTTACACACAGACGCTTTTACACACACACGCTTTTGCACACAAACGCTTTTGCACACACAGTCTTTTACACACAGACGCTTTTACACACAGACGCTTTTACACACAGACGCTTTTACACACAAACACTTTTACACACAAACACTTTTACACACAGACGCTTTTACACACAGACGCTTTTACACACGGAGACTTTTACACACACACAGACGCTTTTACACACAGAAGCTTTTACACACAAACACTTTTACACACAGACGCTTTTACACACAGTCGCTTTTACACACAGACGCTTTTACACACACACAGACGCTTTTACACACAGAGACGCTTTTACACACAGAGACGCTTTTACACAGAAACACTTTTACACACAAACACTTTTGCGCGCAGACGCTTTTACACACAGACGCTTTTACACACAGAGACTTTTACACACAAACAGACGCTTTTACACACAGAAGCTTTTACACACAGACGCTTTTACACACAAACACTTTTACACAAACACTTTTACACACAAACACTTTTACACACAGACGCTTTTACACACAGACACTTTGACACACAAACGCATTTACACACAGAGGCTTTTACACACAAACACCTTTACACAAACACTTTTACACACAAACACTTTTACACACAGACGCTTTTACACACAAACGCTTTGACACACAGACGCTTTTACACACAGACGCTTTTACACACAGAGACTTTTACACACACAGACGCTTTTACACACAGAAGCTTTTACACACAGACGCTTTTACACACAGACACTTTTACACACAGACGCTTTTACACACAGACGCTTTTACACACAGACGCTTTTTACACACAGGGGCTTTTACACACAGAAGCTTTTACACACAGACGCTTTTACACACAGACACTTTTACACACAGACGCTTTTACACACAGACGCTTTTACACACAGACGCTTTTTACACACAGGCGCTTTTACACACAGACAAGTCCGGCACAAGTAAAATCGCAATTTTACCTCAGTTTTTGCCGATCGCCCCTCATTTCGCGCGAAAGGGTTGCTCCGGGACAAGTCAAATCGCAATTTTCCCTCAGTTTTTGCCGATCGACCTTCATTTCGTGCGAAAGGGTTGCTCCAGGACAAGTCAAATCGCAGTTTTACCTCAGTTTTTGCCGATCGACCCTCATTTCGTGCGAAAGGGTTGCTCCAGGACAAGTAAAATCGCACTTTTACCTCAGTTTTTGCCGATCGACCCTCATTTCGTGCGAAAGGGTTGCTCCGGGGCAAGTCAAATCGCAATTTTACCTCAGTTTTTGCCGATCGAACCTCGTTTCGTGCGAAAGGGTTGCTCCGGCACAAGTAAAATCGCAATTTTACCTCAGTTTTTGCCGATCGACCCTCATTTCGTGCGAAAGGGTTGCTCCGGCACAAGTCAAATCGCAATTTTACCTCAGTTTTTGCTGATCGACCCTCATTTCGTGCGAAAAGGTTGCCGTTTCGTGACTCGCCGCCGGGAGAAAGATAAAGAAGGCGAGAGAGAAAAAGGAGAGAGAAAGGAGAGAAGATGTGAAGGTGAGAAGATGTGAGAGAAGGTGTGAAGATGAGCAGATGTGAAGATGAGCAGATGTGAGAGAAGATGTGAGAGAAGATGTGAGAGAAGATGTGAAGATGAGCAGATGTGAGAGAAGATGTGAAGATGAGCAGATGTGAGAGAAGATGTGAAGATGAGCAGATGTGAGAGAAGATGTTAGAGAAAATGTGAGAGAAGATGTGAGAGAAGATATGAAGAAAGATGAGCAGATGTGAGAGAAGATGTGAGAGAAGATGTGAGAGAAGATATGAAGAAGATGAGCAGATGTGAGAGAAGATGTGAGAGAAGATATGAAGATGAGCAGATGTGACGATGAGCAGATGTGAGAGAAGATGTGAAGATGAGCAGATGTGAAGATGAGCAGATGTGAGAGAAGATGTGAAGATGAGCAGATGTGAAGATGAGTAGATGTGAAGATGAGAAGGTGTGAAGATGAGAAGGTGAGATACAGACCCCCACTATTGGAAGAACCCTGCGCTCAGACGCTCTCGGGAAAAAACGGACACAAATTTCAAATGCGTCACCCCTCGGATGGGTCAAGGAGTAGGCATCCAAGATACCCCGTAAATTTCCAAGAGCCAACTTGGAATTGTACAACCCCCCCCAATAAAATAATGTAAAATCCATAATTTCTTTCCAAACGTCTTTCATAGTTTTAACAACTCGGTGATTTTCCCAGGTTTTTTCTCCTGCCCATGGGCACCTCTCCATCACCCAACCCCAGGTCTTCGGCGATCTGCTGCGCATGTTGGGCCGCATCCACCGTGCCATCCAGGGCAACTTCCGCAACGGAGACGGTGCCGGACTGCAAGGCCTGAAATGTTGCGAAAACGCTGAGATGTCCACAGCATACATGTATGAATCAATATATGACATATAACATTATATTATTATATATTATTTGATATTATCTATGATGTATGATCATGTGTCTGTGTATCTATGTATCTATGTAGGGATGTATATATATATATATAAATATTTATACATGAAAAAACGTACTAGTTTAAATATGTAAATGTGGACATGTGTTCCATGTATCTATGTATATATATATAAATATGTAAAACATATGTATGTGTATGTGTATATATATATATATGTATACTTATATATATATATGACCCAGGACTCCCAAGCCCCCCCCCCCCCCCATGGTCCCCCCCCCCTGTGGCCTGGGATGGTGGTATGGTTCTTCTGGTCCCCCCCCCCTGTGGCCTGTGGTGGTGGTATGGTTCTTCTGGTTCCCCCCCCTGTGGCCTGTGGTGGTGGTATGTTGGTATGTTGGTATGTTGGTATGTTGGTATGTTGGTATGTATGTATGTTGGTATGTATGTATGTATGTATGTAGGTAGGTAGGTAGGTATGTATGTATGTATGCATGTATGTACGTGTGTACGTAGGTACGTAGGTACGTAGGTATGTAGGTATGTACGTGTGTACGTAGGTACGTAGGTACGTGGGTATGTAGGTATGTAGGTATGTAGGTAGGTAGGTAGGGAGGTAGGTAGGTAGGTAGGTAGGCAAATAGGTATGTATGTATGTATGGATGCATGCATGCATGCATGTACGTATGTATGTATGTACGTGTGTACGTAGGTACGTAGGTATGTAGGTAGGTAGGTATGTATGTATGTATGTAGGTATGTATGTAGGTAGGTATGTATGTACGTGTGTACGTGTGTACGTAGGTACGTAGGTATGTAGGTATGTATGTAGGTATGTACGTGTGTACGTAGGTACGTAGGTACGTAGGTACGTAGGTATGTAGGTAGGTAGGTGGGTAGATAGGTAGGTATGTATATATGGTCCCGTGTCCCGTGTTCCCGAGAGCGTGAGCTTGGGGGACCATACCATGGGGGGGGGCCAGGGATCCGGGATCCGGACTCAGATATATATATATATACACATATGTATCAATGTATCCATGTATAATTATATAAGTATATATATATATATGTAAAGAATATGTATGTGTATATACATGGCGTGGTTTGAACGCGCAAGACACGTCCTGCAAGGCGTGATCCTGCAACAGTCCCACCTCCTTGGGCGTTTGCGGCATGGCATCCACCAGTTCTTGTGCGGCCATCTTTGCTAAATTCAACGGTGTCAGGATCCTCTTCCTTTGGAGTGGCCGGCAGTAAAACGAAACACATGGGAATTGACAAAAAGGGGCAATTTTCGTGAACAACAGAAGACAGAGAATTTGTTGATTCTTAGCCAATCGAAAAGAATCAAGCATTAATGAGTCAATCACGAAAAATACGAACGTGTAAATCGACAATCATAAAAACACATCAACAACCTATGTACCTACATCTGCATATGTATATAGTCATCGTGGAGGAGATGAAATGAAACGCATGGAATTTCTTTCCAATAATTCCTCACTAAAATGCAAAAATGATTGAACTTGTTATATTCTATCTGCCCCAGGAGGACTACATGTGTGTATATAAATATATATGTATATATATATAAACCTATGTAAATAAATATATATATATATATAAACCTATATATATGTATAAAAACCTATATCTACATATATATATATAGAAACTTATACACATACATAAGAACATAACGATCACAGATATACATCCATATCATTACAAATCACATATTCGCCGGCCCCAACCATCAGCAGGGGGAGGGCACCAGAGGAAAACCACAGATCTTCGTCGGATCACCACCAGCTTCATGCCATCCGCCAAAGGCTTTGGCGAGCCCAGCGCTTTCGAAGCTTGCGAGCTTTGCATCTAGCTTCTAACAGCTTGAGAAAGCAACGTTAAGCACCACCACCCAACCCGGCTGCAGGATTTGGAGCTAGTGTCACGCCGAAACCTTCTCTGCAACATTAGGTTTTCTCTCATCATTTGTTCTCTACATCTCCTCACAGGGGTCGGCGGCAGGGGGCGGCAGCCCTTAGATAAACACTATCACATATATATATATATACATAAATACGTATGTAAATATAAATAAATAAATAAATAAAAATATATATATATTTATACACACACACATATATATACCCAGGCGGTCCAGGTGGTGGCAAAGTTTCCCCCTAAGGGCTTGATGATACTTTGCCGTTAACGCCCGAACTTTGCCATTTCCAGGGGCTCAGCTGAAAGGTTCTGAGCATCAATGTGATACCCAAAATGCATTAGTTCATAATCGATAACATGATAAGAAATACCATTGCAAAATAAAGTGTTTTGGACAGGTTATCATGATGATTCTGACATATTTCAGTGGACCACGTTGGCTCTCTTTGTTTTTTCCCCATGCGATCAATCGCTGCGGCCATGTCTTGGCGGCGGGTGATCATCAATTGCCATCAACCTGGGCTGAGAAGAGTCTGTGCCTCAAACTGTTGAGGAAAATGTTTGGCATTGACACCGTTAGAAATTTTAACAATCCTTTATTGTGGTTTGATCCATTCATGTTTGCAAAATCCATCAACCACATCGAACCCTGTATTGCCTTTGCCAATCCTTTCTAAGGTCCAAAGTGGATGCCAAAAAGAAAATTGTTGGGCCAAGGACTGGCATATATGTTATTCTTAATTCAGATTGGAAGCAACACCATTTGTCCAAGACCTAAGACATGCATATATTGCATCTATTTGGACCGCCTGGGATATATATAATATATAAATATAATTAACTTGATATCAAAGTTTTCATCAGCCCTTAGTATTCTAGTTTTGCCCATACTTGGATCGTTATGATATAATAGATTTTACAGTAGTGATCTTACCTCCAAACCATGCACCACCTCTACATGAAAAAAACAGTACATCACCTGGCTGCAGGACATGATGACGAATACTATGGATTGAAGCCTGATGATGAACCGGCGTATGAAGGTGCCGGCCCCTCTGCCTGCGCACCCTTGGGTTGAGAAATATGGGCATATTGTGACCTTTATTAGGGTACACTAACCTTTAATAATAGATGTGGAAAATCCATTGCATTGCCTTACCAATCATGTTATATACTATGTGCAGTATTTTTTTTACTGGGGAAACCCTGGCAATGCATTGGTTTTTCACATCTATTGTAGTTTACTAGGTAGGTGGTAATGGTTCTGTTTCGTCACTGGCAATGATTCTGGGTGATTTTCCATGTTCATCACACATTTCCTTATAGCCCAGGGCAAATCAATGTTGGGGACATATGGAGATTGAATTTAAAACATGGTACATGGGGGTTTGCAAAAAAAAACCTTGTGCTGCAACATTTCAGGGATCGCAGCATGCACTCCTGTGAGTGCATCGTAATGAAAGTTTTTCGACCGACCAAAGATGAAATCATTTTTCACCCAATTAATATATTATTGATTTCACGGTCCCTGCATTTTTTTTTTCTCCACTGCGTGGCCCACCCCGCCCGTTGATGCCAACGCGGCGCCGAAAGAGCCGAATGGACAAGGAAAGGTTGATGCTCCTGAAGGACAGGCATTGAAATACGGCTTAAGATTGCTTTTAAAAAAAATCAGTCCGTTGAGCAAAGTTGTGGAAAACATGACCCGGACAAGCCAATCTAAAAGCACATGACCCAAATCCGTCTCGACATGCTTTCGTGCAGTCATTGCAGCGAAAGGACTTCTTCCAAGACTTGTGCGAAGAGGAAGGTTTTATAGCGAAGCGAAAGTCTGACATCAAGAAAAAAAAGGGCAGCAAGGCCCCACCAAATTGCAGGGGATCTGCGTTTGGTTTCATAAAGCCAAAATATGTTGGGAATAAATTTTCAGGGATAAAATTTCAAGTGCTTTTTTCATGAAGCAAAATTTATTCTTATAATATTTTGGGCCACTGGCTTAATGCTCGGCCAGGCGTTTTCGTTCGTCGACCTTGTTGCCTGCGATGCCGTGACTGAAACGGAGGCCAATCAGGTAGATTTGAACTCATTGAAAATCCCAAGGATTCCTTTTGTGCATGTTGGCCATTGGTGGACTTGAATATTGGAGTCTATAAGATAATTGGTGCATTTTTTCATATTAGACCAGGGCACCATTGTTTGGAACCAGAGTTGCAATCATAGTAGTACTGCACGTTTGGTTTTTGTGTTGGCCTTATCTAGGTTCAGAGAGATGACAATTACCGCTTTCTGGCCAACTACCTCAGCCAATTTGCTGGCGACTTGCCCACAAAGCATGAGGCAGAGGACCCTACTTGGACACATGGTACTGCATCATGGGCGATTATGAACACTATATTATTGGTGCCCGAAAACCTATCTTAATCAGCCAATCAGATCTTGCAGGAAGCCCTGATCTATGTCGCGCACAAATTCGACCTGAACCCTCACTTCACCCGCCGGGGTCAATTTGAGGTCACTGCCCAGTCAAGGCGAACAAAATTTGCTAAGGTGACCGGAATCTGTTTTAGATAGTACCGGCTACTGCACTATCTAAAATTTAAAATACTTTATCTATCGTTCCATCTGTCTGATATCATTTTTTTACACGAGGAAAAGACGATACGAACACGTGAAACCCTACATGGCACATCTTCCTCCAAAATTCCCTGCCCGAACTGTCCTTTGGCTGCATGCAGGCATGGGCCGAGATAGAAGGGAAATTGATCCGCACGATGGCCTCCCATGTCACGAACTTGTACCAAAGGAGCAAGTCATGCAGGCCAGTCGGCAGCTAGTTGCTGTCACTGCGTTATGTAAGCTTCAGATGGTCCAATGACACAAATATGACGATTCTAATATTGTTCTTATTCACATTTAAATGCATGCTATCTAATCTACATGAACATGTGGCCCATCCAACCCGTGGCAGGAAAGGACATGAGCGTATGAACACCTTGAAGTCTGTCATTTTTCTGAAGCTGAAGGAGTTGCTAGCTGCATATCTCATATCAATGTATAAAAATGTGCAGCAACATGATCAGTGGATGATCAATGGCATCATATTGAAATTGATGACGGTCCTTATATTAATTATGTTACTAGTATACGCATCTCTCAACGTTTGCTTCCCAGGAGAGGGGCATACTGACAAACAAGGAGAAGAAGGTTCCGACCCGTGGAAGGTCAACCTACAAGGCCTTTCCCCTCCTCAATTTCATACATCTTTCAACATTGTCAACATTGTATATATCTTAGTGCACATGCATGTACATGCTAGTCATTAAAGCATGTTGAGTGCAACCGTGCAGGTGAAGCAGGGAAAAAAGTTGAAAAGAAGCGGCGCCCGAGAGACACTAGAGCCCACAGAAAACAAAAGCGGTCGAGACAAACAAGCTTCAGCTGCAACTGCCGCTGCCCCTGATGCAGTTGACACCCTTCCCATGACAGAGTCCCAGGTTGATGAGGCATTGTCAGGTCAGGCCTTGGCAGTGTCCGATTCACAGCCAGAAAACTCTCCAGAACCTTTGCAGGATAGTTTCTGTCATGACGCAGGGGTCGATGAAAAGGAACATAGTCAACACTTGGAGGATGAACATGAACAAGGAGAAGAGGAGGAGAAAACTTTTGATGAGGTAGTTGAACCGGTCCTGTCTCATGAGTTAGCTGAACTTATGGATGAACAAGCAGCAGGCAGCCAAATGGATATCGATACCCAAGAGCAAGGCACAGAAGAAAAGACAGATAGCAAGGGGCCCGAGCAGACAAAAGAAACTCCGACAGACACCGAGGGACCTGACAAGACAAGAGCAGAGGTTCAGACAGAGACTGCAAACGAGAAACCCAGTGAGTCCAGAGATCTATGGGCACCTCCTTCTGCACCTCTTTCACCTATTGGGGGTTCCGCTGAAGTCTTAGATTCAGACGAAGAGGCCAAGCATACCAAAAAACGAAAGAAAAATGAAGGACAAGAGGCCCACAACAAGGGAACACACAAGGACTCCCTACCCTAGGGTCAACACCAGTCATTTTTTTAATTTCAGATTTTGTCTTCTCCTCCATGCTGTGCCATACCATGTCAGGACCGAACTGCCTTGTGTGCTCTTCCTCCTGACCTCGCTGATGATGATTCGCTGCAAGCCCAGATCGAAATGTGTTACAAAAGTCTGAGTGAAGCAAAAGAGGGAAAAGAAGTGCAAAGCAATTTGTTGAAGGCATGGTGTCATCTTATTTGCTATAGTAGTTAACTACTCAAG